TTGTTTATTTTTCACTTCATCTTTAAAATGTTCTTAAATCATAGGATTAAATGCTAGGTAAAACGTTTCCAAGTCTGTCGCTGTTTTACGCCCCACAAAGAATACAGAATTACAATCAAAGTTTTTTAAGGGTTTTGGTTTTGTTTTATGATCTATGTTTTCTCATTTCTCTCCTTTGTATGTTTATCCAAATGTGAACTTTTGCTTTTATTTTAGCTGGGAATTCCATGGATTACGCGTATCTCTCTTTTTCCATTAATTTCATTATTTCGACTCGGAGTTTTATTCTTTTCTTCTTCTAATTAGTTTTTTGTTTGTTTGTGTGTGTGTTTGTTTGCTTGTTTGTGTTTCGTTTTGCAGATCCTTTCATTACCTTAAGCCTAAATATATTTTTCACATCTATTACTAAATTATACGGAGGTGTGTGTGCATGCGCTTTGTTATCCTGATCCTCTTTTTCTCTCCTGTTGCTCCGCTTGGCTAAAATGGGGTTTAGGTTAAGGGGAGGGGATACGTTACACAACCTGCCATTTACACAAAAAACCTAACAGATGGCCGGTTTGCACTTCTCTTCTCTTCCCTTCACGCCTCTTAATCATTAATTCCAAGCATTAGATCGCGCAATGTGCTGCAGGTGGTGCGCGCAGGACGACGTGTGAAGAGTTCTTTAACACTAAGTAAAATTATACAATATATATTTATGCCGTTAGATCCGTATCTCGATATTCCTGATAATAAGAGCCTGTGTGTTTTTGTGTGTGTCAATGATCGGTCGGTCGCTTGATTGGGATTTTGCTTTCGAATAGTTTTTGCTTGTTTTTGTTTGTAGCCTTTTCAATGAGTAGGATAGTTGCTGCTTTCGTTTTTCGTGTTTAAAGTGGACGACGCCCACTGTTCTTGCGATTTGCGACATTATTGTGCTGCGGAAAAAGGGAGAAATTCATATTTCCAATTGTTTCTTGCAGATGCCTTATAAGATTCAATCACTTACAGACTGCCGCCACTTGTTGCTTTTGCTCTGGCATGAGGGACGCTGCTGACTTCGTCGCTGCGGCTGTTGCAGTGGCATCCACATTGTTGGCACCAGCGCCTCCAGCTGCTGCTGCTGCTGCATTGTTGGCTGCCTTGATCGCTGCGGCTGCACTCACGTTGCCATTGGGAATGGGATTTAGCTGCTGCTGCTGCTGGCCCCGGTTGCCGTTGTTGTTTCGATTGTTGCTGCGGTTCCGGTAGTTGCCGCCACCACCCATGCGATAGTTGTTCCTATTATAGCCGGGCGCACCGCCATAGCCCGAATTCATGCCGCTACCAGCACCAGCACCTCCGCCCATACCATTGTTATTGTTGTAGTAATGGTTGCGTCCGCGATAGCTACAGTTTAGCAGGAAAGAAAAGATAGTACAGTGAGCAACATGCACAAATGACGCCGTTGTGCTGGCACTTACCTGCCGCGGCGTGTGGATCCAACGCCAAATGTCTCCGTATTCAATTTGCGCTCCTGGCGCCAATCATTCTTCTTGCCCTTGCGATCCTGTGCAGCTTCGCAAGAGATGTTATCAAAGAATGACTTGGTCTTGTCGTAGCCCACGTGAACATCCTCATCCTCGGGCTCATGCTCACCAGCGCCGGTCTCATTGCCAGAATCATCCTTCTTATCGGTCTCACCATTCAACTAAGCGAAAATTATGGATTAACCCACAAGTTATACGAGAAGCGCAGCAGCATCCGTACCTGTGGTTCAGTGGTGGGAGCAACTGTTGTTGCTGTTGCTGCCGTTGCTGCTGCTGCTGTTGGATCAGTGGCGGCTGTTGCCGACTTGTTGGCTGCCTCATCGGCCACCTTGAGCTTGGCCAGCTGTGTGCGCAGCTCTTCGAATTTATTGTTGGCCTGCTCGAAATCAAAGTCACCCTCAAACTTGATCTTGTTTCGAGGCTTGTTCTGGTTGGCCGAATTCGGACGATAACCCTAAACGAGCAAGAAATGTTATTCCCATGCCTATTTGGGAGGGTAGAGGGCAGCTGTATCCATACCTGATTGGGTCGCATTGGACCTCGGGAGCCCATGCCGCGATTGCGAGACATATTGTTCATGTTGTTGGCGTTCTGTGGACCGCCGCGATGCATATTCCACGCGTTTTGGCCACCATTTCCGTTGCCTCCTGCACCGCCAGCACCACCGCCTCCGCGCTGTTGCTGCTGCATGCCGTTGCCGCCTCCGCGGTTGCGTTGATTGTTATTGTAATTGTTGCTGTAGTTGTTGTCCATTTGCCGGCCAGAATCGCGACGATCCCGCTGCTGGTGGTAAAAGTCGTTGCTGTTCCTCTGCTGCTGTTGCTGCTGCTGCTGGGGCTGCATATTGTTGGGTCCACCACGCTGCTGCTGCTGGGACTGCTGCTGCTGTTGCTGATGGTTCTGACGCTTATGACCAGCATCGCGCGCCATACCATCCCGCATACCCTGGGCGACGCTCTGCTGCTGCTGATGCAACTGCTGCTGCTGGGTCAGCTCCGCCGTTGGGCTGACAATCAGGCTGATGGGCGTCGTCGATCGTGAGGCGCCGGCAAGCATGTCTAAAACAGAAACTTCACATATAGACGACCAAGACGAGAACATGTGCAGGCAGTGTGTATTAGTTGAAGTGTAAACATTACTGAAAAACTGCTTAAAGGTATTCAGCATCTGAATTCCCCATTTATCCTTAAAAATCAAATCTTGAGCTGAGGGCAGGTGGGTAGGGTATATGTTGATGCATTATTTTACCAGAAATGGAAGCTAAGAAGGAATTTCTATCATTAAAAACTAATCACTTACTTGATTGCTTCTGCTGCTGCTGGGGCTTTGGCTGCTGCTGTTGTTGATTGCCGCCGATGTGCATGAAGGGTCCTCCGCCTGGTGCTCCAGCACCGGGCGCCAAAGAGCCGCCACCAGAGTTGCCCATTCCTAGATTGGGAGCACCCAGGTTGCCGAATGGATTGCCGTTGCCATAGCTGCCGCCTTGGCCACCGGGAGCTGGACCCCCGCTGGATCCGCCCATGGACGGGGCGCCATGTTGCTGCTGCTGCTGTTGAGGCGGTGCGTTCATGGAATTCGGCATGGGAAAGTGCTGAGGCATGACTTGGGGTGGGCCATTCTGCAGCTGCGCTTGCATAATCGCCGGATCATTGTGGTGCGGCAGCGTATGATTGTTCACGACGCGAATATCCTTAATGTCCGAGCCCCGGAATAGAATGTAGTCGTAGATCTGCGACTGCGGCGCTATCTGGAACTGTGTGTCCCGATCCTCTGTGCCAAAGGATCGCACTAAACAAAAGGGAAAGTATGCATACATAAATGAAAGTCCCAAGTTTGTTTAAGGTTAAAGTTAAACCTCATTATTTCCTATTTAACCTCAACAAGAGGGGAGCATAAGAACGCATGCTATTGCATTGTATGCGTATGTGTGTGTATGCTTTCATGTTCTGCTTTATCCCAGTGCATTGAGTGCAGTGTCACTGACATTAATAACGGGAGCTGCGGGAGTCCCGTTAACTGGCGCCAAAATGTTCGGCGAAGGAATGGAAACATACAGGCCCACATGCATGCATACATATGTGTACGTACATGTACACATTGAAATTGTTTTTGCAAACAAAGTTCGGTTCGCCACCAAGATTGCATATGGATTTATGCGTGTGTATGTGCAAGCTCGCTCTCATGTAAAATGCAAAAGCAACACTGTACAACAACAGGCGAGAAGAAAAGAGGCCAAACAGCCGTTTCGTTTCGTTTTTCTGTGCAGGCGACAGCATCTGAGCGCCAGGCCAGTAAAGTGCTGCTGCCGCCAACATGACAAACAAAAAGCATAAGTGAGAGCGCGCCAGCGAGAGAGAGAGAGAGAGAGAGTCCAGAGTAATAAGTACAACACTCTCTGAGCGACGGTAAGGGCAGGAAATTACTGTAAAAACTAACAAAACCATACATAACGAAAAAAGTGAGAAAAAGAAAGAGGAACTCGAAGGAAACCATTTTCTTTTCGCTCCTCGCCCACTACTTTAGAAAGAACCGTTTTTTGCAAACGATTTCAGAGCAGATTATGGCCATTATAAGAAAAAAATGATGGAATTAACAGAATGTGAGATTGGTGCAATACTTACCACTGGAAAGAGCAATGGTGCACTCCTGCGGATCCACCGTGTACAAGCGGCCCTCATACCTGATGTCCGCCTTTGAAATCAGGCTGATTTTCGAGCCCAACTCCGGCAATCCTCCACTCATTTTACTCAACTTTAGTCACCGACACTCGCGTTCCGAAATGATCAAACTAAGACTCCAAACTTTCCGAGAAAATAAAAAGGCTGTGTGTATATATAAATGTTTGCCAACAGCGCGCGTATCTATATTTCCACGAATATCGGGCAAAAGCAAACAATTATAGCGAGCGCGACGGCAACGATTTCTCGACGTTTTCAACCTTTCCTGCTCCCACTGCCTTCGACGTTGGCAAGCACGCAATTACTTTCCAGTTCCAGCACCGAATTTGCGGCTAAAAACTGTCTATCCACAATTGCAATACGTGCCTGCGTTGGAGCACTATTGTGCCTGATTATTTTCAAATGTCTCTGGTGCAGCACACACGGTTGTAGATGTTCAAATTTGCAATTTTCTATGCAGAAAATCTTTTCACCTTCCGTCTGCAAAAACCTACCCGTCGAAAGTGGAAAGAAGTCGGGCGAGCTGCAGAACTCGCATGCAATGGCCAGTGTTGCAAAGTACAGCGGCTGCGACACCAGCGAGTTGATATATATTTCAATGAGCGGTTCTTTAATGAGCAGTGCAATTTAATTAATTTATCAACCACTGCACAATTAGTAAATGCCAGTGCTTATTATTTTGATTTTTTGACATTTGACATTTTAATACATTTCTTGCCTGCCATTTGCCACTATCGATAGTTCTCCACCTCTATTTTGCCTATCGGTTTCAAAGCAACACTGCGTGCGGCTGTGCAGCTCTGTGTTTGGCTTCCCTCGGCGCTACAGCATTTTTGCATTCAAAACTGGTCACTTTCAAACTACTCAAATGGAATGCTAACAAAACCTGAGTGTAATTTGTCGTATTTATGTGAAAATATATCAGTTAGTTAGTGTACATTCGGTAAAGTCTCTTGTGTCAATATGCCACCGCAGCGCGATCCGATTAGCGTGCGGACGACGCGCCTAAATAACTTAATACTGGGCAAAGGAGTCGGCGTCACTCCAAAGCCAGCGGGCTCGAGCGGCAATGCCCGACGCAGTGTTGTGCCCGTGAGCACCACAAGTGCAGCTGTTGCCGAGGCCATTTCCCGCGAGGGCCTGCTTGATGCCTTCTGCTTGCTCTACAATGAATGCGACAAGGATGCGCTAAAGAAGCGCGATCGCAATATTTCCGAGTTTGTTAATAAATGTAAGTAAATGCTCAGTGTGTGTGTGCAGGCTGTTCCCTTACCTATTCTCATCTTAGTTCGCCCCATTGTCGAGGAGACTCGCAAGCTGCGCGTCAATGCGGATGACTTCACCATCAAGGCGCTTATTGGTCAGGGATATTTCGGCAATGTTCATCTGGTGGTGGAGCGTCAGACGTCCGACATCTATGCCATGAAGAAGATCAAAAAGTCTGTTGTGACCACCTCCCAGGTGAAGGAGGAGCGCGACATCATGTCCGCGCGCAACTCCGAGTGGCTGATAAATCTGCAGTATGCCTTTCAAGTGAGTTTTTAGCTTGGCTTCCACTCGAACCATTATTTGATGGAGTTTGCTTTCTCCGCAGGACAATGATAATTTATATTTGATTATGGAGTACATGCCTGGTGGCGATCTGCTCAGCCTGATGTCTCGCCATGGACCCTTTGACGAGGACTTGGCACGCTTCTACCTGGCGGAGCTGACGCTCGCGCTGCACACACTACACGAAATGGGCTACGTGCATCGGGATATTAAGCCGGAGAACATATTGATCGATCGCTTTGGGCACATTAAGCTGGCGGATTTTGGCAATGCGGCTGCCCTGGACCGCGACGGGCATGTGCTGAGCCTTTCGCCTGTGGGCACGCCGGACTACATTGCCCCGGAGCTGCTGCAGACCATCTCCACTTATAAATTATCAAAGTCGATGCATGATGTGAGTGCGGCTGTATGTTCGCAGACCTGAAGTGACACTTCAGTGGGTTTTATGTTTTATATTTATGCTTTAAATTGATCTTCCCCTCAGGTTAGCTGTGATTACTGGTCCATGGGCATCATAGGCTATGAGTTGCTGTGCGAAACGACACCGTTCCACGAGGATAATGTGCACGAGACGTACTCCAAGATACTCTCGCACTGCGAGGAGAGTCAGCTGAAGGAGCTGATTAGCTTTCCCAGCGAGCTGAAGGTCTCCAAGAACTACCGGGATCTGATCGAGTCTTTGGTCACGAACCCCTCGAAGCGTTTGTCCTACGAGCGCATCAGAAAGCATCCCTTCTTCGATGACATTCAGTGGAATTGCATGCGCTCGCAGGTGCCGCCGATTATACCCACCATCAAGTCGGACGATGATACGTCCAATTTCGAGGATGGCACTCGGCACAAGTCGCGCAGAGATGTGCCGGGCAAAAAGTCGCTCACGACGAACATGAAATCGCACGATTTTAGTGGCAAGGATTTGCCCTTTCTGGGCTACAGCTTTGTGCACATGGACAAGCCGCCGTGTGGCGACTCTGGGGATGAGGCGCGTGCCAATAAATTGCAGGATAAACTCAAGGATCTGCAGCAGCGGCTCAAGTCGCGTGAGACGGAAATCTCCATGCTGAAGCAGGATCTGCTGCGTGCGCAGCAGTCGCTGAAGAAAACGGACAGCAAGTCGCAGGTGGTGCTGGATGCTAAAATGGAAATCAAGAAGCTGCAGCAAATAATCAAAGACAAAACCATGGAGTTGGCCAGCTGCAAGACGCAGATAAAAACACTCCAAAGTTCGGCCAAAGTGGATGAGGAAATGTGGTCCAAAAAGGAGTCCACCATCACGGATCTGCTGCGGCTGAATCGCCAAAAGTACGAGGAGGCAAAGATCTGCTCCGAGCAGCGCTACGAAAAGCAATTGGCGGAGAAAAAGCAAGAGCTCGCCTCCACGCTGCAGAAAATGGATGCCCGTGAGCTGGAGTTTGTGGCGAAGAGCGATGAGTGCAAGCATCTGGCAGCCAAGCTGCAGAACTACAAGGACATGTTGAAGCAGCTCAAGGAGCAGACCATCAAGGCGGATGCCGGGCATGAGCAGCAAAAGAGCCAAATGGCCGAGTCGTACGAGCAAAAGCTGTCGGAGCTGCGCAAAAAGATACGCGAGTCGCAGGACTCGCATCGCCGCTTGACACTGGAGATACAGGGCATACGCACGGAGCTGGATGAATCGATTAGCTCGGGCAAGTCCACGCAGGAGGCCAAGCATGCCACAGAGCGCAACATTGAGGACATACTGAGACGCCTCAATCAAGAGATTGCCTCCAACAATGAGCTGCACGCGGAGAAGGCCAAGCTCGAGACGAAGTTGAGACTCAGAGAGAACGAAACTCAGGAGGCTCGAGCGGAATGCCAGCGCCTGGAACGTGAGCTGCAGCTAGCCGAATGCCGCTGCCACATGGCTGAATCCTCGCTGGCTTCCAACGCTTCACCTTACAACACCGCACCCGGATCGCTCACCGAACTAAATGCCATCGAGGATCAGCTGCGTGCCGACTTGGTGGCAGCCAAAGAGAGCGAAAACCTGCAGAAGGTGCGCGCCGATCAGCTGCAAACGCTGGTCACCAAACTGGAGCACATGCGGGAGCGTTTCAATGAGCAGAATCAAACGCTTTCACCTACCAAATCGCAGAGCAACAGCTCAGTAGGCGACATGCTGGAACGTCAGAATGAGAAACTCGAAGACAAACTGGAGGCAGTGCGGGAGCAAATGATTGTGGAGCGTCAGGCAGCGCGGGCAGCCAATCTCTCGCTGTGGAAGGTGGAAAAGCAGCTGGAGGAGGCACTCTCCGAGAAGAAACTCTTAGCGCGACGCATGGAACTCACCGAGGAGCGCATCAAGAAGGCGCAAAATGGGCAAGAGGAGACACAGCGGCTGCTCAAGTCCTCGCAGGAGGAAACGCGCCAGCGAGAGTCGCGCATCGAGGAGCTGAAGCAGGAGCTGGTAGTGGCCAAGCGGGATGTAATGAAGGAGCATCGGATGTGGGAGAAGGCCGAGCAGGAGCGCATGAAGTGCAAGTCGGAGATAATCGAGCATCTGGCCAATGTGCACAAGCTCGAGCAGCAGGAGACGGGTCTGCGCCAGAAGCTGCAGCAGGTGCAGGTGCGCTATGATGGCCTCGTGTTGGAGCACAAGAGCCTGCAGCGGCAGCTGCAAGAGGAGCGTGAAAACAGCACGACGGCCAGTGACTCGAGCCACAGCCTGCAGCGTGAGCTCAAGGCCATGACGGAGAACTTCCAGCGGCTGAAGTACGCCTGCAGCGTGACGGATAACCAGCTGACCGAGGTGGAGACCATGCTGAAGACCGAGCAGGAGCGCAACAAGTCGCAGCAGAACCAACTGGATGCCTGCCATGTGAAGCTGCGCGAGCGCAACGATCAGCTAACGAAACTGCGCCAAGAACTGTCCAGCATTGAGGCTGACAAGCGGCTTGCCGAGCAGCGTGCACAAGTGCTCGCCTCGGAGTTGGAGGAGCTGCGACAGAACCTCACCGAGCAGCACAAGAAGTTGATCGCGCAACACAGTCAACTGGTGGAGCAGACAAATGTTCTGTTGGCCACCCAAGAGCGGTTGGAGATTCTGGACGGACAGAACGCGAATTATCTGACACAGAGCGCCGACTGCGAGCGGGAGTTGCTCAGTCTGAAGGAGGAGAATGCGCGCATACTCAGCGAGCTGTTCCACAAGAAGGAGGAAGTGCGCAGCCTGCAGGCGGAGATAGCAGAGCTGCAGTCCGCTCAAGCGGAGCTGCACACGGAAATCGATGAGCTGCAGGACACGATGGGGGAGAAGGAACAATTTTATGTGCAGCGTGACATCAAGGCGCTGGCTACGCTGGCGCAGCACAAGAAGCTGATTGATTATCTGCAGGTGGGTGCCCAGAATCTTCCTCTAAAGAGGAAATCTCTAATCTCATCTCCCCTTCCCCTTCCCAGCTCAAAGTGGAAGATTTGTCGGCCAAAAAGAAGAAGACGCTGGCGGATAAGCTGTTTGGCACGAGTCATGGCAACAAGGAGAACATCTCCTCCAATGATGTGGAATCTTCCATACTCTATCGAGCGCTGCGCGAGGAACTGCGCCGCGAACAGAAGAACTCGGCCATGCTGAAGGAACAATTAGAGCAGCTTAATGGTCGGTTTTACAGGCTCTCCGCTGTATTTAATTCTATAATTATTTATCTGTTGCTGTTCCAGGCACTGCCACACTTCGCTCGCCACTCAAAGCATCGGGGGAGCAGTCCAAACAGCGGCCTGTCAGCATTGCCGTTACTCCGCGCTCCCCACGCAAGCAAGTGTCGTCGCTGAAGCGCACCAAAAGTCAGATAGAGATCAGCACCACAGCAGAGAAGAAGAAGGAATCGAACAGCCAGCAGTCTGTCCAGCAGCAGTCGCATCACCGCTTCGAGCTGGCTCTACAGGAATCAAAGACAGGCTCTCCGGACTGTGTCGTGTGCAAGCTGAGCATTATCGCCGGTTCGCCCTATTGGCGCTGCAAGGAGTGCAAGGATGCGGCACATCGCAAGTGCCGCACGAACGTGCAAGGAGATTGTGGAGCCGCAAAGCCTAGTGCGCCGTCCGAGGCTGATGCTGTCAGTGTGGCTGCCTCCGCGACCAGCAGTGGCCTCGAGAGCGTGGATAGCTGCAGCTCCAGCAACGTGGCCAGCGGGGAGTACTTCGGCACGCTCGTCTACAGCTCGGATGCACAAGTGGATGAGGAGCACGGCAGGAGTCTCGAAGTTAACTGCGCATTTGAGGTGGCGGAGCAGCAACTGCTGCTGCTGGGCTGCAGCACTGGACTGTATGCCTACCATGTGGACACGCAGCGTTTGCTGCACATTTCGGGCATCGAGTCCGTGAGCTGCATGTCCATCTGCAAGCGACTGGCCAAGGCCATTATGGTGGGCACCGTCGCGGAGAAGCTCTACCAGTGCGACTATCGGCAGCTGGAGTCACGCTGCCAGAGCTCCAGTACGTGCCACAGACCCGTGCTGGAGACGTCAGCCATTGAGCTGCCGTCTGCCAATCGCACGGCCGATGAGAAGTGGAAGCTGGTTATGATTTCCAACGAGGCGGAGAATGCCCTGGATTCTGTGGCCATAGCTGCCACCACCACGCGCATTGTCATCCTGAAGTACGACCACAAATTGCACAAATTCAATCCCGTGCGCGCACTCGACACTGCCACGCCCGTCACCTCGATCTTCTTTACGCGCCACTCGGCCATCGTGACCTCGGACATGTTCTACGAGATCGATCTGGATAATTATACGGCCGAGGAGTTTGTCGATTTGTCGGACAAGTCCATGCAAAACACTGCCAAATGCCAGCCCCTCATGGCTGTGCGCATTTCGCGGCAGGAGTATCTTCTGTGCTTTGCCGAGTGCGGTGTGTTTGTGGATGAGTTTGGATGCCGCTCGCGCCCCTATGATTTGAGTTGGGTGTACGCTCCCACGGGCTTTGTGTACCGCGAACCGTTTCTGTTCATTTCCCACTATCAGTGCGTGCAGATTTTGCGTCTCCATCGTTCATTTAGCAAGGAAGTGGCTGACACTGCTCTAAACTCCGACAGCTCCGATTCCCCTGACTTGCAGCGCGTTTACTTGCCGCACTACATGTCCACGTTGCTGGCAAACAGCGGCGATGTCAATCTTTACGCTCTGGCTCTCGACCAGAAGCCGTCTGCCACTGGTCAACGGATCTACCACTTGGATACCTTACAGGCGTTTAAGCACAAGCTAAATGTGTCCTTGGAGACAATTTCGTCGGTGGCCACGTCCGTGACTTTGGGTTCGGCAATGACAATGGATAGCATATGAGAGAATATGCAAAACAGTTAGGTCCAATTATTTATCAAGAAAGAGAAAAGAGAAGAGAAGAGAAGATGGCCTCACACACACACAGAAATACATAACTGTAATTTTAAATAAGAATCTTAATCGATTAACGCTTTTGGATGTTTTTATGGTAGCAAACACTTGCCCTTAATTTAATTTTAAATATTTCTAACAACTTTTGTGCACTTAAATACACAAATAAAAGCATTTTGCAGTTAAATAAGGAGAAAACCAAGCGATTTAAATAACAGTTAATGTGGGAGCTTCCATTACTGAGATAGGCAAAAGCTCATCCAGCCAGCTTTTGCTGGAAGCGCTTTCAATGTCCCGCATGGTAAGGTGGTGGTGTGTCTCTGTCTCCGTCTCTCTGCCATTGTGCCCGCCGTGCCCGCTCTCTGGATACTAAACTGCAGCATTACTGTAAATTGTGATAATTGATTTCAATTTATTCCATGTCGTTGGCACCGTGTGTGCGCCATAGTCGACGACGATGTTTGAATCAAAAGCAAAACTTCGCGCGCATCGTGCAGTTGCGGACTCCACCACTAACGCAGCCGCCGCCGCAGGAACTGGAACGGACTCGAGCAAGATGCTGCTATGCCGTGCCTGCCTGGTGCTGCTTCGACCCGAGGATGTGTACTACGATCTGTTTAGCGAGCAGGGCTTGGCGACCAAATTCTTTTCATGCACCGGTGGCGACTCGGACCTGCACATACAGTTGAGGGAAGACGAACAACTGAAGGATGATGTGCCACAGCAACTGGTGCTGAAAAGCATCTGTGAATGCTGCTACCAGTTGGTACAGAAATTCCACGACTTTCAACGCATGTGCGAAGAGTCCTCCAGGAACTTTGAGAAGCTACTGGCGGTGGTCAACTCTCAGGAAACCGTCCACAAATCCATCCAGGAGCCAGATGTAACCAACACCAGCTCTAGTCTGGCAGCATACGAGACTCTGTCGGGGGGCGAGGAAGAGGTGCTTGCGATTCAGGAAGTGAGAGCCACAGAATTAATAGAAGAAATTGTGAGTTGAAATACATTGGAGGTTATATGTGCTCGATATAAAAGGGTTTGTGTGCTCCAATCTAATCACAATCATTGCCTAGGTTTTGGTTGCTTAGCGCCATTTGTTTGACCATTTAACCATATCATCCAGAGGCAGGCGTGTGTGTGCGTGGGACTGGAACTGGAATCAGCTACGAGATAATTTACTATCAACAGGGGGGCAGGTTTCTAATGAATCGTACATTATCGGTGGCATTTATTCAATTTAGCTTTACACATGAGTTATGACCCCAGAGTTTTTAGCAGAAAGTGTAAAGGAAGGGACAGCCATCCTTAGATCTTATTGTAACCCGGAAAAGATCTTGCTTTTGAGTAGATAATTCTTCAACTAACATTCGCGTACTTCGTACTTTCATAAGGAAATGACATTGAACCGCCTTTACATGTGTTTTAAGATGAGTTTATCTCGACAGTGTCTCTATCGATTCACATAGAAAAGATAAGATTAGGCCAGATTGCAGATAACAAACATGTAGGGGGGTTTCTTGGGCTTCCTACACCCATAGTCATAGTGTGAAAATTGTTGATTAAGACCGATATGGGTTCACTTATCACGAACAAAATAAAACGCTGAGATTGAAATTGAATCGATTAAATGAACACAAATCTCATTTCATTACAGGAGGAAGTCTACATTGTTGAGGATGAAACAGAAAAGAAAAATCTGGGCAGGGAGAAGATACCCATATCGTCGAGACAAAATGTGCCCGGGCAACGCAAACAGGGACTGAGATATACGCTTAATTGCAGCAAATGCAATCGGGGATTCTACAAAATCTCCTCGCTCGAGGCACACATGAAGAAACACGATGGGATCAGTCCTCACACGTGCGTGCACTGCGGCAAGAGCTATGCGCGGGCAAACCTACTCGAAACACACCTGCGCGAGAAGCACTTGGGCTCCACTCAGAGCATGACTTATCCGTGTCCCAGGTGCAATAAGGTGTACAGTGCCTCGCGCAGTCTCAACTATCACTTTAAGCGGGAGCACAAAAGTCAGCACAGGCAGGAGCTGCCAGCCGCCATGCACATGTGCGACAGGTGTGGCAAAGCGTATGCGCGAAAGGCGAACCTTGTGCGCCATCAGTGGGTGCACCGGAGTCTGGATGAGCGCCATCACGTGTGTCAGTTCTGCGGTCAGCGCTTCTACACGAAGCAAAACATGGTGGATCATCTGCAGCGACGTCACACCAGCAGCAAGAGTCTGTTGAGGTGCAAGAAATGTGGACGCATCTTTCGATCTCGAGCGGTGCTGGCCGTGCACCTAAGCAAGCATGCAAGTGCCACAATAGGTGGTGCAAGGCAGAAAAGGAGACGTTCCTCGATCGTTAAAGAATAGTTAGTTAATATTTTGTTTTTGTTTTATTTATATGGTGGTTTTCAATAACTTTTAAGCCAACTCAACTAGTTACAATGAATTCGAATTACTACAAAATTTATTATTACATTTAGGTAGATGGAAAAATAAAGTCCTGCGTTGAAATAATCATGAGAGATGACGCGATATTTGCACGATGAGTGAGTAGGTGTTGTTGTTTTTCGGGGTAGAGTTTTCTTTTCTTTCTTTAAAATTAGCTAACATTCACATCATTGCGGGGCGCAGCATGAATCAATTCAAATGCAAGTCGGTTGGCATCGATGATTGGTTGATCTGCTCTGCTTGCATATCTCAAAATCATGTATAAAAAACAATTAACTAAAATTTATGCTTAAGCTTAAAAAACGGACAGATTTAAAACTTACACTTGTTACACCATACCATGACACACATTTAGAAATCAGTTAATTTGTTTTTGCAAAAAATTTGTAATAATAATAAACATTTTACGATTATCTGATCTGATCTGTCTCTGTCTTTGCCAAAACAATAATCATCATAAACTATGTGAACTGAAGGAGGTGGATGTGGATGTGGATGTGGTGTGGTGTGTTGGTGGTTGGTGTGGGATGAACGGGATGGGGGGGTTGTCGCTTGCACTATATGTAAATAAATACGCCGCAATATGAGCATAGGATGAGAGGTAGCGGTTCCAGTGCTGGACCGCTACGTGGCGCCACAACCATTTTGTGACGTGACGTGACGGACATCTGTGCTTAGGTGTCCTTGTGTTTCTCGTAGAAGGCGTCCAAGTATTTTTTGTACTCCTTCTGATCGTTCCACATCATCGCGGCCTGCGCATTCAGTGGACTCTCGTTGTTTGGCTCTCCCAGCAGTGATTGTATGGACAACAGTATGGTGCGCACATCGTACAGGGCCGACCACTTGTCTTTCAGTATGTCCAGACAGATGGATCCTTGCAAATCGACGTTGGGATGAAAGCAAGACGTCAGGAATTTCACCACTGGCGCCGCATACGGATACGAGTTGGGAAAGTCCAGTGACAGCCGATACGTCTGCCCAGCGTAGACAGTGTTCAAGGGTCCAGCAATGGTGCCGACCCACTTGAAGATGTTCTCGCCATCCGGAAAGGCAGAGATTCCCTTTTCGTTGGCCATCATCAGGTTCATTAGTTCTTTGTGCAGTCTATACAACAGGCAAACGACAGAATATGGTAGAATATGGTAGCATCACTGCATGTGCATGGAAAGAATTGGCGCCTTACCTTTTGCTCACGGCATGATTGTCTTTCACTGGCATCGAGTCATCAGTGTGTTTGGTGCTGCCCCCAGCTCCGCCGCTCTGTTCGGGGCTAATGTTCTGCGCCATTGCGTTGCGATGTGTACTTAGTGCTTGGCTTTACTGATTTTACTCAAAATCAAATTTAGTTGCTGGGCCAGAAAACGCTTTCTTTCTATTTCCTGTTTTCAGTTTAAATATTTTCCTTTTTCACTTTTATGTGTGTGTTCGACTATGACTTTAAAACAGTACAGTAGATGACAGTGTTGGTTTGGGCGTGCACAGGGTTGTATTATGATTCAGTCGGACGAGTGACAGCTGGAACAACAACGCATACTACTCGTTGTTTACGTATGTATAAATACATGCATACTATATGTATGTAGATGAAAAGTGTATTATTTACATATAATCAAATCAACAAAATTAGCCACTGGCAATGGACGAAAACAGCCTGATCTACGGCTTGGAGTTGCAGGCTCGTGCCCTCACACCTCAGTACGGCGAAAGCAATGAGGTGAACTTTTTTATTGCCACAAACTCCCTGAAGCCCACCAATCAGCTGCATTTGATTACCTACGACGAAGAGCAGGGCTCCATACAGGCCAAGGTAACACTGGTTGCATATTGAAAGCATATTTAACCAATTAAAACTCTTTTTCACAGGTCTTTGAGCATGCACTGGGTGAGGTTTGGAAGCTAAACAGTTGCCCACACGACTCCCGCCTGCTGGCATCTGTGTACAATGTCCAAAAAGGCGCACAGGTCCTGACTCATGCTGCACTTTTAACGCTGCCGGAGAATTTGAGCCTGCCCGATGGGGAGGAACTGAAATCGGAGTATCTTCCTTGGGGACAGGTGGAAGTTTTGGACACAGAAGCCTATGGCGAACGCGTCAAAACAATCGAATTTCATCCCAGCCAGGAGCAGACACTGGCCTGCGTGGTGGACAACAAAGTGACGGTTATGCAGCGCGCTGAAGCCTCCACCCGCGTTGTGGCCGAAGTGCCCGTCACCAGCTCGGGCAGTGCCAAGCACACGGTGCCCTTCACCACCGGCAAATGGTCGCATCATCACCAGGGCCACCAGTTCCTCGCCCTGCACGACTGCAGCCTGAGTGCGTACGATGTGCGCGACACACAGCATTGCGCGTGGAGCATAAGCGATGCTCACAACCAGCTGGTCCGCGACTTGGACTGCAATCCGAACAAGCAGTGCCACCTGGTGACCGGCGGGGACGATGGCTACCTCAGGATATGGGACTGCCGCATGCACAAGGCGCCAGTTTTTGAACGAAGCGATCATTCGCACTGGGTGTGGTCGGTGCGCTTCAACACATTCCATGACCAACTGGTCCTGTCCAGCTCCAGTGATTGCAAAGTGCTCCTCACATGCGCGGGCTCTGTTAGCTCGGAGACGCAGGCCCAGGCTGGCCTTGATGAGTCGAACTTTGGCGGCGCGGAAACTGAGGAGCGGCACAAGGTGCTGTCGGATGGCCTGCTGCAGACCTTCGACCAGCACGAGGACTCTGTGTACTGTGCAGAATGGAGCAACGTGGACCCATGGATCTTTGCATCCTTGAGCTACGACGGACGGGTAATAATCTCAAAGGTACCAAAGCAGTACAAGTATCAGATTATATTTTAAGTTAATTTATATTTAAAAATAAACAGCTTAGCCCGTGTCCTCTGATGTACAATCGGATGAGTCATTGGGATTCGCAGTCTCTACGGAACAGACCCGCTTGATCAATTCATTTTCTATCTCTACGGTGCCATTGTCCATAGCCTCCTCCATTTGCACATACTCAATGGTCGCTGCAGTTTTCTTGGGCACTGCGCCAGTACTGAACGTTGTCGCCTTCACAGCGGGTGCTACCGTTTCCACAGCATTCTTGGCGCGCGAGTCGGTCTCGTCTTCGGCCTCCTCGGCGAGACTGCTCCGCTGCGGTTGGATGTCTGCGTATATGGCGGGATACTGCTGATGCAGCTTATGTTTGATAATTCGAATCTTTCGAAATATATAGTCCAAATCCTTTTTCATATCGTTGAGACACTTGACGTGTCGTTTGAAGTCGTCGTTGGCGTTTTTCAAGCGGCTCTGGGAGAGGGCATTGCAATTGAGGAGCATCTCATTGGTTTTCTCGAAGCGTTGCAGCCTGCGGGGGGATAGTTTTACTACATTAAAGACTCTCAATATTGAAACCAATACTTACATTTGCTTTTGAGCACGTATCATCGTTTCCACATCGCCCTGATTGACCATTCCAGCCAAGTTTTGTATAAACGCCTCTGCGGCGGAGTTGCCAAATCCCGTGTAGGACTCCAAGTCTGGAGTTGCATCGTCGGATTGGTTGGGATCCTGAATGTAAATGTGGCTCATGTTTGCTCTAGAAACAGAGATATCTCCTATTGTTGTTATCAGTTGAAAACTGTTTATAATTTTTTGTTTATGGCATATGTTCCTATGTATGTATTAATATGTATATATGCATGTGTGAACTTTTGCAGTGTTGTGAGCTGCCAAAAGATAACCAATTGAGCAGTCACTTTATTGAAATTAAAATATTTTGACTGTCTGAAGCGTGTTTACATAAAAACAACGTCCAATCAAATTACTTAAGTTTATTTATAATCAAATTAATAACTTTTTCATAAGTTTATATTTCATAACGCAATCATGTTCATGGCATTTAAGGGGCGACAAATTGCTGCCACACTTATTTCTTCGACCGGCGCCTTGCGATTTCGCTTTACACATAACTGTTTTGTTTTAAACAAAAAGATGAAACTCGCTCCAACTGTGAAGCTAAACAATGGCCACGAAATGCCTATATTGGGCCTGGGAACCTACCAGGTAAGCGGGAGCTGTAAGTTATTACTTTTACTAGTTGGTAGGCAAGCAGTGCGCGCATGTTCCTCAGACTTACGTAGAGATTGGGGCACTGCCATATGTTTATTGCTGCATCTTGGACATTGTACCGTTTAGTTAAAGAAAACACGTTGTGAGAATGCAGTGCGCTATGCACTAGAATCGGGCTATAGGCACATAGACACCGCCTACCTTTACGGCAATGAAGCGCTGATTGGAAAAGTTCTTAAAGGTCTGATAGGAGAGGGAAAGATAAAGCGCAGTGAGGTGTTCCTTACCACCAAGGTGAGTAGGTCGCAGTCGAAGCTGGGTGAGTGTGTACATGTGTGTGTGTCCCCATAGCTGTGGGACATCTACCACGAACCCGAGCGTGTGCGCTATGCCTGTGAGCTGCAGCTGAAGCTGCTCGGCCTTGACTACATCGATCTGTACCTGATGCACTCGCCCGTGGGTGTCAAATATGTCACGGACGCTGATCTAATGCCACACGAAGGCGACAAGTTGTGCACCAAGTGAGTTATGCGTCTGCACTTCTGCCTTCGAGTGACTTCCAGTCTGGTAACTGCTCCCTTTTCGCAGTGCCGTGGACTTTGTGGACACCTACAGGAGCATGGAGCAACTTGTTGATCGAGGACTGGTGCGCAGTCTGGGCGTGTCCAATTTTAATATTCTCCAATTGGAAAGGCTCTGGCAGAGTTGTCGCATCAAGCCAGCGTCGCTGCAGATAGAATGTCACCCGGAATTGATTCAACTGCCGCTGCTGCAGTTTTGCAAGGCGCGCGGCATCGCTGTCGTTGCCTACTCGCCCCTGGGCCGCCCGAAGACCAGCAAAGCCCTGCCCTCATTCTACACAGACGCCGAGCTGCTGGCAATAGCACACAAATATGGCAAGACGCCCGCACAATTGGCACTCAGATATTTGGTATAATTAGCAAAAAAAGAACTAAAACAAAGATCTTTAATCCTTTGCTAATTGTACCACAGATAGACATTGGCACGTTGCCCATACCAAAGGCGGCTCAGGAGTTGCACATTGCCGAGAATTTGGATATCTTTGACTTCAGCTTAGCGCCGCCGGAGCTCGAGCAGCTGGGAAAACTCAATCGAGGGCTGCGCATTTGGAAGTTTCTGAAAGCAAAAGATCATCAGCATTATCCATATGAGACTTAGCACTTACCTGGCAATAAATTTGCTCATTTAGATTCAAAGTTGATCCTGCCTTTCCTTTGCCAAACGCTTTTGCTCTGCAACATACGCACGAATGTTGTTTCGATGCGTCAATTCGCGTGTCTCTGCTCGGTCCACTGTGTTCATGCTGAAGCGTACGCGCGCTTTACGCAGCAAGCCCAAGAGTGCCCGCCAAAGGCGACGCACAAAACACATTTCCACCTGTTGATTAAATGTGAAATTTCTGCTCTTTACTTGCAGTCAATCGATGGGGAAGGCACTGAAGCCATTAAGCATGCAATTGATATTGGCTATCGTCACATAGACACCGCTTACTTCTACAAGAACGAGATGGAGGTGGGCACAGCCATACGGGACAAAATTGAGACAGGAGTTGTCAAGCGTGAGGAAATATTCCTAGTCACAAAGGTGAGTAGAATGGGAGAGTAACTTCCTCTAATAACTCCTCTGTTGCTCTTTCAGCTCTGGAATGTGCACCACGATCCTGGCCACGTGGAGCCCATTTGCCGCAAGCAGTTACAACATTTGGGCCTGGACTACATCGATCTGTACTTGATGCACATGCCAGTGGGCTACAAGTACATCGACGAGGAAACTCTAATGCCCGTCGATGCCGAAGGTGTTCTCGAGCTCAGCGACATTGACTACCTGGACACGTACAAGGCCATGGAGAAGCTGGTGGAGGCGGGCCTCGTGCGCAGCCTTGGCGTGTCCAACTTCAACAGCGAACAATTGACGCGTCTGCTGGAGAACTGCACCATCAAGCCGGTGACCAATCAAGTGGAGTGCTCCCCAGGGTTAAACCAGAAACCATTGACAGCCTTCTGCAAGAAGCATGGCATCACGCTCACGGCTTACTCGCCGCTGGGTCGACCCAAGCCGGACGTACAGAAGCCGGACTACATCTATTCGCCTGCTGTTGTGGACATAGCCAAAAAGTATGGCAAGACCACGCCGCAGATTGTGCTACGATATTTGGTGAGGAACTCTTGCCATGAAGCTTACTTTTGTTCGTCTAATTAATTGATTTTCGTATCCATTTTAGGTTGATTTGGGCACCATACCCATCCCAAAGTCATCGAATATTAACCGCGTTGCTGAAAACTTTGACATTTTCGACTTTAAGCTGACTTCCGAGGAGATGGCTGTGCTGGATGGCTTCAACTGCGGCGAACGCTTGGTGCCACTTAATTTAATTAAGGCCCAAAATCACAAGTACTATCCGTTTGCCATTGAGTTTTAAACCAAGCGCCAAAGAAAAAATATAAACTAAACTGCCAACATATAATTCGTCGCATTCAAGTGACAACTTGTTAAAGGCACAACAAAACTACTTGTATTGTGCGTCATTTTGATGCTCGTAAATGTTTTTTATTTTATATCAAGGTCAGTGGCCCTTTTGAGAGCCTTGCAAAGGTCTCTGGAGGAGTGTAGAGAACTCAACGAAATTTTGCACAAATGGGAGCTTGGATCTTTGACACTGAAAATTAAAGCTAAAAGCTAATTGAAAAGCTATAAATACGGAAACAAAAATATGGAATAAGTGCGCAACAAATATGTAATGCTAGCTGCACTTTCAAGAAGTTAAAAATGTGCCTTAAGTGATTTAATTGTTTGCCTTACATTGATTACAAGTGGTAGCAGACAGCGGGCTTAATCTTACATCCATTAGTGGCGCAGAATCATTTTGCTTGTTTGTTTGCAACTGGTTTATGGCCATTAATGTTTAGCCAGAATTATGCATGTTTTGCGTTAATCGCTGGATCGAACTCAATTTTTAGAGATATATTCGGTAATATGCGGGAGTTATTAGATGCGCCAGGATCCTAAATGATGCATGAAAAGTGTTATTACAGACCATTAAGGTTTTACCTTTACGGCTGACTAATTATTTGTGCATTATTCAGTACACTGACTAATCTACTTCCTAGGGCTGTGGAGGCTGACGTCACCGCATCATCAGACTCCACAGCTCTTGAAAGATAATGAAAAACAACACGCGCTGAATGAATATCTTTCTTTTTTTGGGTACTTCTCTGAACCTCTGAACCCAGTAGCACTTTGAGGGGTAGATGATGCCCACAACTGTAGGTTTTTGGCCCCATTTCGTGCTCTCAGTAAAAGATCTTTGTCATTACAAGAGGGGGGCAAGGTGCCTATATATAAATATGCTTTTTACTGGGCGATCTTACAGCTCTCTTCGTTCCGGCATAAAGCGCAATGTGCTGCTGCTGCCGCGTCGCGTTGCGACTTCGTTTTTGCGGTTCGGCTTGGCTCAACACTCAACAAACTTACGACTCAAGCGTTCGATTGAGTGGAAAACGTGCTGGCGGGCGAGAGCGTGGCTTAAATAAATTTTCAGGTAACCAAAAACTGTCAGTTTCGCTCAAAGCGTCACCACGTTCACATCGTCGTCGACGCCAGTTGCGGAGCTCGCAGCGGAGAGGAGACTTGCGCGCATAATCAAACACCTCCATCCATAATACAAATACAGAAATTGTTATATAATTTCTGGCAAAATTTAACTTGTGAAATTTCAAGCCGTTAACGTATCCCCCTACCAGTGCCAGTGCTTAAAAAAACGATACAAAAAGTGAGTTGCGGGGGAAACAGAATTATTGCCAGAGGGCAGGGCAGTCGAGACAGTTGGGTAAAAGGATTGAGGGGCTTACACACATGTTCGGCGCAAAGAAAAGCAAAAGAAAAACTTTCGCTTTCACTCTTGGCTGGCTCTGGGTAGCAGCAGACGGACGGACAGGCAGGCGTACGGACAGCAACTGTTGCGCATGCGCTGAGGCCATTGCGGCATGTATCGTTTACTTGACTTAACCTACTAGCTCTTGGGATTCGTTCGCGTATTGTGGTGTGGCAGTTCGAGTTCGAGGTTTTGACCTACGAACATGAATTGGTCCCTAAAAAAGTCGTAAGCGAAGCGCAGTCAAAACTTAACTATTGACCCAATGCTATTTGGGATGAGTCTGTTGGCTAGTTAATTACTTGGGGGTATGCTGGAGTGTAGCTAAAGCCAAGTCAACTTTTGTGTTGCCTTTTGTTTGTTGTCTTAATTGTGAAACAACAGCAACAGCAAAAGGCCTGGGCAAGGTCTTGTAGCCCGAAGTTGGCCAACGCCATAAAGCGGCGGCGTCCAAATATAAATGCAAGTTGTGAGGTGTCCATGGAGTTGGCTTAGTACGCGTATAAATATTCATGGCAAGTAACTACAATTTGTGTTGGACGTGAAGGCGATTTCCTTGGGTCAACCTCGGCTAGAAGTCTGCGTGGAATGGAATGGAATGGAATGGAACACCCTAGAACTGGAAGCTTTTCGCCTGACCCACAGAACAGCCTTGGAACGTGCTGTGACTCGTAATGATTACAGTTCGCACTTTGATTAATAGATTTCTGTCATCAGTTTTCACAAATGAATACAAAATTGCTACTCATGCCACGAGCATTAAGGTTCTGGCCCAAGCGAACTGCACAAGATCGAGAGGCAAATGCAATCTATACGATAATACGGAAAAGAAAATGAAACTGAAAATGCAAATTGGCGTGTAAGCGTCGAGCGTCGTAAAAAACGAAATTGAGCCAAAGCAAACGAATTGCCTGCCAATGCGGCACGGTCATGGGTGGGGTGGGATTGAGCAAAGTAATATCTTACTTAAGGAGGCAGAGTATTGGGCAGAGATCGTAGTGTTAGTTGGAGCACAAAAACCTGGAGCAGCAAAGAAAAAAAAAACCAGTTTTGAGTGTAATTTTTTTCGGTGTCTCTGCCCTGCACCGCTCCACCTCCAGCTTAATGCTGGACTTATATGTCGTATATGAAACGTACTTTTGCTGTGGCTAACTTTTATGCTGTGATGTAACCATTCCGGGGGCTAATTGGCAGAGCGGATGGCAAACACAGAAAGCAAGCAACAAAGTTACGAACGAAATCGCATCTTCATCTGTGCTCTGTGCTCCGTGCTCTGTGGCGGTGGCTGCTGCTGCTGTCCGTCCATAAATGATCGAGTTGCCACAATCCATTGGCCATTCCCATTCCCATTCCCATTCCCATTCCCTCTGTATTGGCTTGTATATTTTGGTTATATGTGCAATAAATTGAACGTATTCAAAGCAGGGCATGTTACACGTTTAATTTTACAACAGAGCCTGATGGACGGACAGTTCGTTTGTTGTACGTTGAAAACTGTGTGAAGGCCATGAAAGTGGAAAAAACTTGATTTCGAATCGTCTAGATATGGCTATGGGCTATGTATTGGTGTTTGGCTGTGACTCGTAAACAGTTTGTTGACCAAAGATAGTTGGGTCTCTCCTCGTTGTTTATTTGGTGGCTGTGGACATAATTATAGGGCAGTTACCCATCTCCATCTGCAGCTCCATCTCTCTTTTGACCTTCGTTTTCATTCATTTTTGTGGTTGGATAGAAATTTAAATGCCGATTAAAATGACAACACAACAGGGGCAGCCCAGAGATCGTATGATTATCTGTCGCTTTCATATGCAAAACAAAAAACGGGCGTCGTTCCAGTTTTTGGGTCACGGTCAATGGAAACCAGAAATCAGCTGGAAAGTTACGGAAATGGATAGCGCCACCTACTGGGATTAGCCAACAATGAAGCGATATCATGCGTATTCAAATCGTCTTCAGCTGGGAGACCCACACAAGACATTGCACTCCTCCTACATGACATATCCAAGACAAGTTTCAAGCAATTTCCATGGGGCATCGGATGTGGGCTAGTAAACTGTGTTGACCCTTGAGAGTTCGATGGATTTTTTAGCATGTTTCGGGGCTGCCACACTGCCAGTCTTTGTGCTCAAGGCCAACCAGCCAATTAATGATCAAGAAAATTAATGGCCAACATTTTGTTGCTTTAGTGCTTGAAACGGAGGTGCTGCAACAACCGAAACTCAATGGTCCCATGGCCAGCGGTGGCGACTACGATTATCCATATGTGTGCGGCCTCAGTGCCGACATGAAGGTGGTGGCCAAGGAGGAGCTGCACGAGGATGAGAACATACGTCGCCAGGCACTCGCCCAGTTCCGGGAGTGGATCGACAAGCATCCGAACATCAAGAAGTGCCGCACCGATGCCGTCTTCCTGCTGCGCTTTTTGCGCACCAAAAAGTTCTCCGTGCCGTCGGCGTGCGAGATGCTCGAACGTTACCTGACCATACGCCAGCTGTTTCCGCAGTGGTTTCAGCATTTGGACATCAATGATCCGGCCATAAATGAGATATTCGAGAATGGTTATCTGGTGCCGCTGCCGCAACGTGATGCCACCGGGCGTCAGGTGCTCTTCTCGGTGGCCGCAAAGTTTGATCCGTATAAGGTACGAAATTTGATGCTTTCCAACACTGGCGACCCTTTTGTTAATCTTCTTTAATTTCGTTTGCAGTTTACTTCTGTGCAAATGGCTCGTGTGCACAGTCTTATATGCGAGGCCCTGCTGGACGACGAGGACTCGCAGGTGGCTGGTTATGTGTACATCAACGATGAGAGTGGCATGAATATGGGTTTTGTCAGCCTGTGGTCGCTCACCGATCTACGCAGCATTGTCAAGTGCATTCAGAACTCGACGCCCATGCGGCACAAGGAGACGCACTTTGTCAACATTCCCCACTACGCCAATAGAATCATTGAGTTGGCCGTATCCATGCTTAGCGATAAGCTGAAGAAGCGAATTATTGTAAGTCGAAGGCTGTCATTTCCCGTTCCTCGCTAAACTTTGCTCTTCCCTCTTAGGTGCACAAAAATGTCGATGCTCTGTCCAAGTCAAAGATCGATCCAGCCATTTTGCCCAAAGAATATGGCGGCACTGTGCCCATGGCGGAGATGATTGCTCAGTTCAAACAGAAATTGCTGAAGCGTCGCGCTGCCATACTCGCCCTGGACGACATGCGCATCGAGATCACCAAGGATGCGGCCAATTTTGCGGGCAACGATATCGGCGACCTCGACGCCGGCGTCGTTGGTAGCTTTAGGAAGCTGGAAGTGGACTAGACACACCCCCTCGGATGGACCCCCTCTGATCGTAGGCTAAGCTAGAATTACGTCACATTACCATTGAGACAACTGACAAATACGCGCGGGCATGCACACTTTTCGTACCTATTTAAAGCATTAACACTTAAATTATATTTTGTAACTGCAAACAAAAAAAAAAAAACAGTTGAGAACTCGCTCTCTCTCTCTCTCTCTGTGCCGCTTCCCCACAGCCCACCCACCGGCGGTACAGGGGTATCGCCAGGGGATGTACACAGTTGCAGTGGAGCTTTCAGGCTGTCGCTTCGATCCATGCGTTATTTACTGTTACAAAAACAAATGTCTATTTAAATATATATATGTATATATTCTTGTGAATTTGAATTACTTGCAAAAAGTTCTTTTTATTTCATTCGTTGGACGGGCACCAAAAACAAGTCCGAAAATATGATTCGGATCAGGCCCCCTAAATTCAGCCACTTTATAGAGTTCCTTATGGATATTGCCCCTTAAGTGTATCCATAAAATGATAAAATTAATGCATTGCACTATGCTATAATGCGTACCAGGAAATTTTAATATCTTAAATTAAAAAGCTAGCATTTTATATGACAGCTTATCCCCGGTTGATGGGGTCGCGAGTAGGGTGTGTGGTGTCATTGACGACATACTGATTCGGTTGTTGAACGCAATCCCTGCTAAACAGATCCAATTATGGGCACACTTACAGGGTTATTCTGGGGCAACAAACACAAAGCCAGGGGCAGGGGGGCAGGGAACGAGGCGTGCCGTGCCAGCGATCGTAATTAGTTCGTGTCTGAAGAAGTAGTTGCTCTTTTGTAGCGCGATAACGGTGACACACACACAGAGTCGTCACCGGCCCCTGCCGCGCCGAGAGAATCTTAATGCACTCTATAGGCAACAAGAGAAGAGAGCACTCCGGACAAAAGTTCTTCTGCTGTGCTTGTGTGTATGTGTTCATACTTGCGGACGTGAGAATGTGTGTCGGCATTATGATTGTACATTTTATTATATGGCCGCAAAACCAAGTAATTTTCAAGTTAACTTTTCAGTTGAATCGAAGCGCGCGAGCATGAGCATCATACAGAGAGTGGGCACCGCAGCTCCAATCTTAATTTAAGTTGTTAATTTTCGTGCTCAGTGGCTGTGCTAAATGACCTTAAGTGATTCTCGACCTACCTGCAGGTAGAAGCCCGCGAGCTGAGTAATTCCAGTAGTAACGTGATTCACGCTCTGGAACGGCAGTTTGTCTGGAATTCGAAGATACATATGGTATCTCTGGAGTGCAATAATTTGAGCCGATGCACAATGGAAACTAAGAACTAAAAACTAAGAATTGTTTATATGTGACGGCGTATCTATGTGTAATTCCAATCGTCACGATTTATTGACATGAGCAGTTTACTTAGCAAGTGAATGAGAGAGCCAGAGCAAGCGCAAGAGCGAGCTTTCACACTCACACAAAAGCCAACGAACAAAAAGCTTTGGGGTTTATTGCTCTCTGAGCATGTGACAGCAAAGCCACTGGCTGCACTTTCCAGCCGGAGAGATATAGACCCACCACCACAACACCTCCTCTCTCTTCAAAGGTGGCTCCAATTTTTATCAGCACGAAGTGCGAGTCACACAGATAACAAGAAGCCGGCGGGCGTTAAGTCATTTCGAAACTTATCGCTTCGATACTTTGCGCAATCGACGGGGAAAGGAGAACGCGACGCGTAATGCAGTGCGTAGTCGAGTAGAACCCACAGCGGTGCAACAATCATGAATAAGATACGATCCCTGCTGCCGGGCCAACAGGCGCCCTCACAAGGTTCCTCCAACCGCCACTCGGTGGTGCTAGAGCCGGAGATTGGCTTTCAGATCACCATCGATACTGCTGGCGGCGAGAGTGCAGCCAAAAGCTCAACGGCGGTGCCAGAACTCAATGTCCATCTCATTGCCGCACGACATTTGCCCTCCCTGTTCGGCTTCAAGATCGTTCAGGGCTATTTAATTAAGGTAATGATACAATATTTCGTTCTGTACCGTTTCAATGACTCTCTCTCTCTCTCTCTCTCTTTGCCTTCTTTGCACCGCTATTCAGGTAAAGTTATTTCCCGGAACGAAGCGGCTGGACAGCACCATTCATACCAACACGTGGCCAAAGTTCAATGAAAACTTCAAGTTTCCACTGGTTCCAGGCATTAAGTAAGAACTATGGGGGCGCCGCTTTTCCGCTGTCAGTGAAATTAAAAGTCTCATTAATCAGATCTTCACTGAAACATGGCTCCTCACGGGACATGCTCTCCCGCCGTTCCACCAATAATCAGCAGCCGACGGCGCCTGCCACAAATCACGTACCCGAGCCCGACGAGCTTTTTGCCGGCCAATTTGTTGTGTTCACTGTGTACGCGCTCCTGGAACTACCCGCCGCAGTGAGTCAGTCAGTGAGTGATCCGTCAACCCCTTTGTTGGCTAACATCCCCCGTTTTAACAGAGTTTCAATCGCTTTAACAAGACATACCGCTCGCTGAAGGAACGCAGCTCCAATTTTATGCAGCGCCTGGTTGACTCATCTGCGAGTGGCACGCCCAACGAATCCAAGCCCGAAGCACTCGGCAAGCCAAACGAAGGAAAATCAAAGAAAAAGTCTGAAAACCCAAGGGATGCCATGCCACCGTTGACCATCAGTGAATCCCGCAGGAACATAGGTGAGGAGTTGTCATCTTCCAATTCTTTGAATCTTCTCTCTAATCGGTTCGCTCTCAGGTTCCGTCACTTGTTACCTGGAGCCCAAACTGTTTAAGCGGAATGCACGTACTGGCTGCTATTCCTCGGAAGAGCTATGGCTTCCCATCAAAGATATAACGACGACAGTCTCCAAAACAACGTCCAACAACAACAACAATAACACTGTAAGTTAGAAAGAAGGAAAGGCAATGAGTGTTACCAAATAACCTGACCCCAACTTGTGTGTGTTGACACGAGCCCCCTCCCTGGCGTATGTTTTTCAACGTAATGGAGATGTTACCTTAATTGTCCAGAGTGAAAGTTGCCAAGACACCAAAATTGTTGGAATGGCAAATGCAAACACCTAAAATTAATTGTCGCACTTTTATAATTTTCAGCTTAATAACTCACCCAAAGGCGTTGTTGAGCTGGCCCTCGAGGTGCGCGATCTCGGCGAGGATGGCAGCATGCCCGCGACGACTACTCCGCAGCCAACTCCTGCAGCAGGTCCTGCCTCAAACAATTGGCAGCGTATGACCGCCGAGATGAAGCGGAAGATGGGCATGAGCAATGCCAGCCATGTCGAGTCTGGAAGATATGTGCTACGTGTGACGACTACGCGCATGCGCTGCTCCAACAAGGTCAAGGATGAGCTGGAGGCCACGGCCAGTGCGGGTGTCTATGTGAAGACCACAGCCTTTGAGCATGGCATCTATATAGATGCCTGGAAATCGCCCAACTTCTTTCCATCACTCTCCACCAAGTGGGACGATGGTACGGACGCCAATGAGGGTAGCATAACCATTCCGCTGCGCAGTCTGGACCAGCTGGAGAACATTGTCGTAAGGGTCACTCTAGCCACCAAGAAGATGGGCAAGAAACTGGTCCTAGGCACGGTACTGATCGGTGGGGATCGTGCAGGTGACACGGGCTCCGAGCAGATGCGTCTCATACGCGAGACTCCACCCGACGAGCGGGTGGCTGCATGGCACTGCTACCATTAGTGGAGCTCCAGCTGTAGTCCAAGATGAAAGCCAAGCAAAAACATGCCAATGTAAATAGTCTACGTTTTAGCCAATTAATTACCAAATCAAAGTATAGTTTTCTACGCAGTACTTTTCGATCATAAAAGTTATTAAATTTAATTGTAAACAGTAAAAAAGTATTTCCATCTGGGAAAGTTGGTTCATATTTCAGCGTCGACGGCGTGTAACCAGCAACCAGCAGCAGCAAAAGGCAGACCATCGCCAGACATCACATATGTGCTGGGGTTTTTTCGCTTTGGAAGCTATCCACAAAATGAAATCATTTTACGTACAATTTTCTCACCATTCCAACGCACTGTGCACGGCCCAAATGTGTGTGGAAAAAGTCGTCGCATATGGGACGTTTTTATTTTATTTTTTTTCTGTGCAGCTCCGAGCGAGCATTGGTTTGGCGTCCGCTCAGTTCTCGAGAAGCCGTCGGTTGTATCGGATCGGTGTGTTGTGTGTGCTATTAGCTACTGTGTGTGCCAGCTACTGTGTGCCGTGGAGTTATGAGAGGCAACACAACGCACTACGGCTTATGCGTTTTGTGCCGCTTGATATTTTAGTAAATGCTGAAATAAAATGCTGCTCCAAAAGTGTCACCAAGAATATTGAAAAAAAAACAACCAGAGTTATTTGTCAGGTATATTTTGTGTTAAATTTGAAGTGCACCCTCCCAAGATGATCCAAAAGTTGAGAATCGAAGTGCAGTTTTGCCGCATAAAAAGTTTCATTCATGACAACAATTTGTGTTCGAAATATTCGCTATATGTGGATCTGCATTCATGCGAACTCTGATGCACATATACATGGATTTATCTATGCATATATAGCCCCCATCTGTGTGTGTTTAAAATGCGTTTAATTCATCTGTTGCTGCACTGTTCTGGCGGTGTTGTGGGGTGATCTTTGTGATGGCATCTCGCCGTCTCGACGTTTGTGTGCGTGCCGTGCCAGTCGAAGCATGATTTATTTTCAACAACTTCCGCTAAACTTAGTCGCCGCCACATTTACATACTGTAATGCGTAGCCATAATACAAAAGAAATCGAAAACGTTTTCCGATACCGAAACACCCAAAGCCACCGACAACTAATAAATTAAGAGAACCCGTATCTGTGACGCGATTTCGGCCAGCACCACGCTGCCCACAGGTCTGCCTGGCGGCTGCCCACTACAGATAGACAAAAGCTAACGAAGCTCGATCTTTCGTTAATCGGTGCGTCATTAAAATTGCATTTTCGTTAAACGGGGGCGCCCGCGGACCTGCAACCTGCAACGCTGCGCCGCGCGACAGCTGCTCGGTCCAACCAGACACTGTGGCTGCCTGGCTGGCTGGCGGCCGGCTAGAGATCGGATCGGAACGGATCGGGTGCAAAATAAGCACACAACAACCCACTAGCCCAACACTTAGGCCAACGCATCTGTGGAAGTTGTTGATCTCTCGGGCCAAATCCAAATTTGTACATTTTCATTCATAAAAAATAGCGAAGCGGCGGGCAGAGCGTAAACGCCAACGAGTCATAGCCTCAGCCACAGCCAGACACAACCTATTGACCGACCACATGCCGCGAAGGTGGGTGGCAGCAGGGCCAGAAGATGTGCTGCAAGATCGTGTTTGGGTTAGGCGGGGGGCATCAAGTAAACATATTTATTTATGAGCACACTCACCGCCCATTGAATATACTCAAAAGTATGCAAAAAGCAGGGAAATAAGGTGGGTAAATTTGATAAACGGACATTTGGCTTCCGAGCCGAGCCACAGGCAGGGCATTATTTTCCAACATCTGGTTAATATGCCATAATTTTATGGTGCGAGTATTTATGACGCCGAGTCGACGCGTCGACCCCTTCATAGTTGATTTTTAATCGCACTTTTGTCAAGGTAAGGCACAGCGAAGATGCGCGAGGGAGAGGGTGTGCAGGCGGTGGGTAGAGGCGGAGGCGTCTGCGGGTCGCCAGTGTTACTTTGTTTACCCGGAGAGATCGTCAGCGAGAGGCTGACTGCCGAAGACGACTTCGCTGCTCTTCGCTTCGTTTCTCTTTTCTCCTCTTTGCTGTTTGCTGCTGGCTGACTGCCGCTCTGTTTGCTATGCGGACGCATCTCTTGTTCTAATTTAAGAATCCGCGTCGCTCCACGCACACACAAATGTACTATTTCCGTCTGCTATATGACAATTAGGGTGGACTTTTGCAACAGTTAATACTGGAAGTAGATATTAGATTATAATATAGATCTTGTACTAACTAAAAAGAAACTTTAAATTACTCTCATTAAGCACTCTCAAAAAAGTTGTAACATAAAATGTATTATATATTCCCTTGCTTATTAATTGCTGGATAGTGTCCACCCTAATGCATGCCCATATATCCATCAGGTGTATGAATAGTTTTCTAGCGCTTTGTTTGTTGTGGAATTTCATCAACAACACCGGCGAAAAACATTCTTCAAATCTCACAGCAGGCGGCAGGGCGGCTAAGCACCGTTACTCAATACCATCCTCATTGGATTTGCTTATTAGATGGAAGCGCTGACACAACACCCACAGAGTGTGTTCTCAAGTGTTTTTATTATTTGTGGAAATTCTAAACCCCCGATGATGCATGGATTAATAAGGGGGAATATCGGTTTAGTTTTCAAAACAGCAACAGAACTTATGGGGCAAACAATGCACACAACAAATCTGGAGTCTGGCTGTGCATGTTTTTGGTCATTGCGGGAAGAACCAGAATTCGCCAAGAGAGTGAGTGAGAGAGAGAGAGAGAGGTAGACATGTGCATCTGCATTGCAGCCCTGCATGGGGGGGGGGGGGGGGGGGGGGGGGGGGGACTGGATAGGTAGCTGGTTTTGGCGCATCTGACCTTATATGAACAGTGCCAGAGATCAGTGCCTTGGGTCGCCATCTGAATATGGTCAACATGCGGGTACTCGTCCCAGTACTTGTACTCCGTGCCAGTAAAGTGTTGACGTAAGATCGATGTACAAGCTTGTGCTCATTTGTGGCTTCTGGTACTACTTAAAATTCCACGCTGCTGCAGTTGGGATACAAAAAGGGGTTGGGGGGGATAACGAGTACCAAGTACAAACATCAGACACGTAGCCAGACCAGACCCGAACAGACCCCCAATCTCCACAAATCCCACAGCATCATCCCAATGCTTTTTGCCTTTGAAACACACAAACAAAAAGTGATATGTACATAGTTTATCTCTATGTTTTCAATTTTCATTTCCCTTTGCTTGTAATTAGTACATTGTACGCGTATGTAGCTAATTAATTTTCACTTTCTGGCCCACGCTTTTGATCGCTTAAGGTCTTGGTACGCAAGTTCAAAAAATGATTTTTTGCTTTGTAGTGGCACTCGTCGGCATTGGCATCGTTTTAATTTGTTCGTTGCAGTGCCACAAGGAGCAGGCAGGGCACAGACTCTTCTGGGATTGCTTTACTTTGACGCAAATGAGTCGCTTAGTTCGGGTAAATTAGGCAAATGAATTGGCACTTAAAAGCATGTCAGAGGAGGCTGAATCTGCCTACAAGTACCAGGGTTCAAGTACATAAAAGTAGTACAAGTATTACGTGTACTTATATAAGATAATTGGGCAGTTTTCCCTCAGATAATGTTGCGTCACAAAGGGCAGAAGGAAACTTCTGCAAGTGCAGTTGGCATCTGAATGTTACATCAATTTTAGTTTTATATTAATTATTCCTTAATTTTATTTCATTTTTCCATTAGCCATAAAGTGCACCCAACACGTTCCTAGCTGGGAACACTATTCAACGAACGACAATTATTGACAATAAATTGTGCGAGCATGAAAGTAATGTGCTATATTTTTGAATTCCTGACAGTTGTACAGCTGCTGGTTGAAACTCAGGTGAGTCGCTCTCTATTAATGATTGCCCACCCACTTGACCTAGCTATACGTATATGTAGATGTCTGTATATTACGTCAACTTGAAACAATTTCATTCCATGGGGAACGGTGTCTCTGTGTTTTCCACTAACAATTGCAAGGTCAATTACCGCGTCCAAATTAGTCGCACTCTCGCTTTTTTTTTTGTTTTGTTCTTCTATTTATTTGTTGTTGTCATTGTTGATTGGGAAACGATACATACTCGTACGCACTCGTATGTAGGTTGAAAATCGACTGCGGAACGTTGTTTCAGTCTCCTTGAGCTTGAGTGGGGCACTGCATGCGATTTCGGTTCGTATTTCCGCATGATTTCATGAGAATTTCACAGCTCCAAAGCTCCAGCTCAAATTTGCATTTGACACACAATTGAATGGGAATGTTTAGGTATTTAATGGATCATTTATAATGAAAGTTTAGCAGAGGAAAAATGCTTTTATTTTACATGAATTAGCAAGGAACAAATTGGGAGCAAGCCGGAGACTTTCCAGCCAAATAATCATTAAATTGTATTTATATTACAATATTTACTTGCAACAATTATGAAACAGCAAAACCTGTAAACACAAATGCACAGGTAAAGCTGCCAAAACCAAAAAGAAAGTCCCTCCATAGGCAAATGTTATACAGGGACTCTATAGGGATACGTCTGCCTTGGAAGCCTATTTGTAGACTCGTGATATGAAGGGATCGTCAGCTCTGCGTAAGCTATTTATAGCACCCGACAGCCGACTGTCGACTGTCGGAACTGGAGCCTGCCAGCGAAGCACTTCGAAGATCTCGCAAACTGTCGGGAGAGCAATGACACTTCAAAATAACAAGCGGCGACATCTCCGCCTATGCCATTGTCTGATTTATGGCAGATGTGTGAGGCAAATGCTGAAATGGGAGTCCGAAAGTGTAGGCTGCAGACCAGATCACATTACACGTCCCATAAAAACAGGAAACCAAAAGACTTCTTCCCTTTGCTGAAATTATGTTTTGTTTTCCGCTGCAGTGTGGTCACGTCCAAGAGGCGAAAAGGTCCATAAATGCCGAGATACGAGAGGCAGTGGGCCACGAGCATCATCGATCGTATCATGGCTCCCACTGGATCGATGGCAAGCGTGTGCACCGGATGCGTATGCCGCACCATCAGCGCTGGAGTGGCCGGCGACGTTCGATCAGTCATCACCATCAGCCCTTCAGCCACTGGACACAGTGGACGCCCTGCGATTCGGAGTGCGTGAAGCGTAGGGAACGATACTGCAAGGCGAAGCGACGTTGTGGCCACACCAAGCACATGGAACAGAGCAAGTGTCGACGGTGAGTGGGAGAGTGGAGTTCCGAATCTTGGTGGAGTTTTATACTGAAGTTTGTCATTACAGCTGCCATCCTGCACCGGCCATGAAGCTAAAGGAATGGCATCAACCAGTGCAGGAATGGCATCAGCCAGTGAGTAGGGAACCAGCGGTGCACGTCCAACAACAGCAGCAGCAGCAGCACAGCCAGCCATCGATCATCATCAATGCAGCAGCAGCGGCATCAAGTGGTCCCACTGCACCACCCATTAGCTATTGGCCCAGTCCTGCGCCTACTCGAGCAGCGCCACCTATCAGCTACTGGCCCAGTCCTGCGCCTACTCCAGCAGCGCCACCTATCAGCTACTGGCCAAGTCCTGCCCCTACTCCAGGAGCGCCACCTACCAGCTATTGGCCAAGTCCACCACACGATTCTGTGGAGGTCGTGCACCGGCGGCCAACGCATCGTCCCAAAGTGGTGTACAGCGAGGAGGAAGAGGAACAGGAGGCACCGGAAGCCGATGATGATTCGGGCGAGCGTGAAGACTTCTTTGTGCTCAAACACAACCGTCACAGGCGACGACAGCGGCCCAGAAATCGTCCTCAGAGAAAGCGCAAGCCGAGCTACTCCTACGAAGAGGATGATTTTGATGACTATTTGGGGGCAAAGTCGCTGCGGCCAAGGAGCATGATGGTGGATAGCAGCAGCGGCGGCAGCCTGGAGGGTGACATTTTCCAGTATGAGGACTTTGACATCGAACAGGAGAACCTCGAGATGGAGTCCGAGGAGTACTTGGACTTTCGCAACGACAGCTGGCCGCAGACGCCAAAGGAACGCTACACGCCCGAGGGGCTCATACCACGCCGTCGACGCATCTACTCCAAGTGGAGTCGCTGGAGCAGATGCACACCAAAATGCACCACGCGGCGGTTCAAGTAAGTGGGAGACAGCTCTAGAGGAACTTATTGCTCAACACTGGTTAATCTTTCCCTTCAGAAAGTGTCGCATCAATGAGCAGTGTGGCCGCGAGGTGCTCCGTGAGATTGCCTACTGCTACACGGAGGGCAGCTTCTGCCAGCAGTGGCTGCAGACACAATTCCAGAAAACGCCCGCCTATGAGACGCGTCCTGGCAGCGTCGCCTCAGCTCCTGCCATGCAGCGACGGCAGTCGGACTCTGCCATGAATCGCCTGACCAACAACGAGGTAATCATGACCAGCAAGGGCTATCGCGGGCCAGAGTACACGCCCATCAAGCTTCACTGTGGCATTGCGCGCAGCGGCAGCGGTCGCCGCAACATGAACAACATGCTGAAGATCATTGGTGGCAAGGCGGCGCGCAAGGGCGAGTGGCCGTGGCAGGTGGCCATACTCAATCGCTTCAAGGAGGCATTTTGTGGCGGCACGCTCGTGGCGCCCAGTTGGGTGCTCACCGCTGCACACTGTGTGAGGAAGGTGCTCTATGTGCGGCTAGGTGGGTATTTGTAGAAGAAATATTACTACAAGAACTAACTTTATGATACGCTCCAACAGGTGAGCACAATCTGGACTATGAGGATGGTTCGGAGGTGCAGCTGCGCGTGCTCAAGAGCTTCAAACATCCAAACTTTGACCGGCGCACGGTGGACAGCGATGTGGCGCTGCTAAGGTGGGTACAGAAGCCTCAGGCAAACGTGTTGAATATCTGTTTATCTCTTTTTGCCTAGGCTACCCAAGCCCGCCAATGCCACCACCTGGATCGGCTACTCCTGCCTGCCGCGACCCTTTCAGCCGCTGCCCAAGAATGTCGACTGCACGGTCATCGGTTGGGGCAAGCGACGCAATCACGATGCAGCGGGCACCAGTGTGCTGCACAAGGCAAATGTGCCTATAATACCCATGGATAACTGTCGCAACGTTTATCACGATTACACCATCACAAAGGTAAACTATTTGGGCACAAAGTTGAATCATTTATCATCGAATTTTGTTGCTCTCAGAACATGTTTTGCGCTGGCCATCGCCGTGGACTTATTGACACTTGTGCTGGGGACTCGGGCGGACCGCTGCTGTGCCGTGACACCACCAAGCCCAATCAGCCGTGGACCATCTTTGGCATTACTTCCTTTGGCGATGGCTGTGCCAAGCGCAATAAGTTCGGTATTTATGCCAGGGTGCCCAACTATGTGGACTGGGTGTGGTCCGTGGTTAATTGCAATGGCAATTGCAAGATGCAGTAGCTGATTGATTGATTGATGCTGGGACTCGAGTCCGTTCTGTTGCAGAGGCTGTGAAAAGATAAAATGTATACTTTAAGTGTCCTAGAAGTTCCCCAAGCTGAATTTTCTAACAAGGTGGCAACCACAGCGCACAACTGCAGTGGGGAGTACCAATAGCATATTCACCACGCGCAGAAAGACAAGCGCTAGAAAGGGATAGAGCTAGAGATTGCCCTGTGGAGATGTCGCCTTGTAAGTAAATTCATCTTGAGTGTCCGTATTTAAGTTTAAATAATTAACATATGCAATTGATGTTGCGACTCCAATTCTCATGCTGTCTGCTCTCCTATTCTTATGTAAATAAATGTTTTTCGCTCGCTTCCAACTTTATGTTATATGTTAAAAAGTTATTTATAGACCCCGCCCGTAAGCTAACTTTAGTTATAAACTAAACTAAGAACATGCAGAAATCTGAGATTCACTTGTGTACTTAAATCACACCATCAATGAATGTTTCTTGTACATTCAAGTTTAGAAATCAATGTGTAAATAATGCCAGCAAATGAGTTTTTAACCCGTCTAATAAGTATTTTAATTAACAATTAAGTGGCGTATGGAATGGGCAGAAACCTGTTTAATTTCGAGCTAATAAACAATCAAATTACGCAGATTTATGGCCATAGAATACCCTATCAAGGTTACGCCTAAAACAGATCAAAACAGAAGTCCAACTGGTTCTAACATTTCCTTAGATGAGATTTAAAGCAGTTCGGGCTATACCAAAGATCAAGTGAAATGTTTTATGTACATTACGCATTAGTTTATAATTTATTGGTGTTAAATGCCGCACACACTTTTTGTTTGTTTTTTTCTCACACAATAAAACTATTTAACGTGACCTCTCTATAAACACACACACAAACATTTCTCTGCTTTTTTATCCACTACGAGTACAACACACAAATTGATTATAAAAAATCAAACGATCACAAGACAGAGAGAAGGAGAGGTGAGTGTGTGCCGTGTGCCTGTGTGCCCTGCAAAATAATATTAGTCGGTATATCCGCATATAAAAAACATTCCGTATAAAGATCTACACATATATAGGGGGAGGGTGTGGAGGTTGGTTTGGCATTCCAGCTGCCTATTTGTCAGTCAACATGTAATGCAGCGCCACCGATGACAGCAGCACCAGCAGGGCCACAGCAATGCCCAGCATGTAGAGGCTGCGCGACAGCTCTGGTTTTGGCATCGTGTTGGTCATGCTGCGCGTCTCGTCCGCTTCGTCTGCGTCCGTTTGTGAGTTGGTGAAGTTTGTGTCATCCGGCAGGCCCTCGGCATCCATGAGAATTGTCTCGGGATCCAATTCCACGTCGAGGATTTGCTTGGCTTGTGCCACAACCACGGTGGGTGCTTCACCACGGAACAGGTACTCGGAGAACTGCACTGTGGCGCCTTTGGATGTTTTGGTGCCCTCTGCGGGCAGACTAAAGAATACTCGACGAGGTGGCTCGCTTATGAAGATCGCCTCGTTGGTTACATACGAATCCGTGAGGCCATCACAGTAGACTTGAATGCGCGTGGTCAGTGAGCGCAACACATCGTCGCGCAGAAAGCGCTTTACATCCGCAATGCTGTTGCGCTGACTGCAGAAGATGCGCGTGGAGATGATGCCGCTGGTGCGCAGCGTGCCGTTGAACTCTCGCACCTTAATGTCCGATGGCTTGGCCAGCTGACACTTTACCGGCAGCACAATGCTGGCACGAATGATGGCCGATCCACCAAGATATCCCTGAGAGCGTAGCAAATGCAGCGAATCCGATGCACAGCTGTCCGAGGGTGTCGTTACATTGCTCGATGAGGCCTTGAGTTTCTCCTCTTTGCTTTTCCGCTTCTTGATGTAGGTTTGCAGGTCAATGGTGTCCTCGACGATTTCGTTCTGGAGAAAGACCTCGCTGACGAGAATGTTTTTGCGAAAAGCCACAATAATGTTCTGAAACTGTTCCTCAATGTTGACGCGACGCGCTGTGTTCACAATGGGTAGAATGTCCTCCAAGTCGTACTCGCACTCCAGCCGTATCCACTCGAAGGGTTTTTCCACAAATTTGAACTCCATGTCGGAGAAGGTGCCACCGCTAGAGGGGAATAACATTAAGAAAGATTTTATTAGTAAGTGAAGGAGGTGCAAAACTAAACAGACAGCAAACTACAATACATAAAATGCATTCCGAGAAATGAGAAATGGAAGGATTGAAACGACTAGAGATGCCAAAAATGATGCATTACAAAACTGCTAAGGGGCTAAGGGGCTAGGAGATTGGTTTGAATATACGCTAGGTCGAGTAATTTATTTACCATATGATGCATTTTATGTTTGCCGTAAAGTACGTTTTCTTGCAATGTCTAGTTTAATACGTATGTTAGGTACGTAGGTGTTAGGTTTATGTTAGCAATTTGTTTGGTAAAAGAAAGAATACACAATGAAAGAGTCAGAGGGTCGCCAGCTGTTTGCTTGCTACTTACTTGCCGTAGGTGTAACTCTTGCACACAACTTGCTTGTTGGCCAAGGAGTAGGAGAGGAATGCATAATCGCTCTGTGCCACATCGGTGGTGTATATGCCAAAAGACTTGTTGCTCTTTAAAAGAATGCTGCAACGAAAGAGACACAATTTAGTGGTTTATCTTATGGTTTGCCCTGAAACTCACTCGTAAACATCGGAGAATAGTTTTTTGGCCGTCTTCATTTCGGTATTCTGGTCGGTGGCTGAGGCAACGAAGATTCCTGCAATGCAAAAGACACACTTTACGCATGCTATTCGTACTCCCCCCCACTTAGGGGCATACATACCGATGACGTCAAATGAGCCGGGACACATTTTGCTTGCGCTCAGCCATTGGGAGGCCAACGCCTGAGAGCTAATGTCGCTTATGCTCAGCCCGACCTCCGTCAAGTCCTCCAGATCGGCATCCTCTTCGTTATTCCTGGCCAAGTGCACCACAAACGTTTTGGACAAATCGGCTTGCTGTCAGGGCAAAACATTGGTTAAGCGCGCGGGGCCGCGGGACAACACCATAAACAAATCTACGTGGCGGTGTTGCTACACACTTACATGGCCGATGATGATGCCGTACGAGAACCGGTGCTCCTGTGCGCATTTCTCCAAGTATAGCTCATCCGCTTTGCTTAGGAGTAGTGTGCGCATTGTACAACAAAAGGAATACCTTTTTAGTTTATTAAATTGAATTAAATTATATTGAGTCCCAAATTTGTCAGCACGCAGTTATCGATAGAACTATCGGTACTAGCGATGGTTGGACACTATCGACCTAGCTCACAATCGATGGTTTGAAGTCTCGATAGTGGTCGATAATATCACGATATTATTATATATTATATTTTATGTTATATTTTATTTATTTAATAGTATTATATATTCGATATTATTATATATTACTTGGAGAGCGGGGTGAGCTAAGAGGGCGAGAAATATTAATCTTAATATTCTGATTTCCAAGCTGCTTTGAAATATTAATAATGGCTTCATCTTAGAATGACATTTAGTTGTGATGCGGTAAGTGATTGTTAGGGTACCACTGGACATATTATTAGAATTCTATCGGTCATTGTGCACCTCTAAGAAAAGCTACCGGCTAGATATACCATCTCTAGCAAGTGGCGGTTATATTTGAAATGAGACTGATGGAGTTGCCACATCAATGAAATGTTGGCACTACAAATAACAGAATTCAATTAAAATGCAACAGAAATAAGTTTCCCCCTTGAGGGAAGTCTTCAAATTAGTGCCTCACCTGCAACTGCTGCATCTCTGATCGGATTGCACTCGCCTTAAGAAACCCTCCTAAAGACGCCAGTCCCCAGATCCCATGTGCGCCGTGCCACCCAACTGGTCAAGTGCCTTGTGGACTATGGAGCGAACGGACGCGATCGGTAATCGAATTAGGTAAACAAACACTCAATAAGGCGGGCGTACGTTGATAATGTGTGCATAAGCAAATAGGAGACGACCGGCGGCAAGATTGCGCGCCGGTGGTGATGACGGGGCCGAAACCGAAGCGAAACCAAATGAAATATTTCGTTTAGGTGGTCGCCAGCGGCTGGCTGCGAGCCATCTGCTTGTGTGAATGCTTGATTGTTGAAGTGCCACTCGAAGGCGAGGGCGCACGCTGCTCCCTGCTCTCTGCTCTCTGCTCGCCAGCCTCTTATTTACTTAGTAAATTATTCCTGTTCGATTGTTTGCGTTTGCTCTGGATCTCTGGCACAAAAGGCCCTCGAACGTCATCGTCAGCAGCCCCACAACGTTGTCATTGTCGTTGGTTCGTTCATTCATGATTTGCCTTTCACAAATTTTATTTGTATGTACGACTCGATGTGTGCGCCATAAATGTGCACTTTGCATTCGAGCTGGCAGTGCATTCAGCAATTCTGATCAGCTTAGTGAGACATCTCATTATCGACGATGCATTCTCCATTCTCTGCATCCATATGTGGACGCTGTACATGCATCCCGTTTCACTTGCAGATTTATTTCCATCTCCGGCTGATGCTTTCTGCTGGTCCAGGAATCGGGCAGGTAATTGCTTTTTAACTCGACATTCAGTTCCCGTACCGTCCCGTCTCCACTGCCACTCAATTCGTAAGCTTTGATGCGATTTGGCTTCTGTGCAGAGCCTCCTCGACTCGCCTTGACTCTGTGTGTTCTGTGTGGCTCGTTGATCTGATCACGCCATGTGTAGTTTAGTTGCAGTTTCGATTCACATCGGGATTGCTTTTGGCCAGGCAGCGCATCAATCATCCATCACGCACCCAAGACAACGACCTAGCCTGAGTAAAACTTGTGTGCCCGGCACATACATATTTATGTACATAAATACATCATATGCATGCATACGGACAAAGCAACAGTCGTCATATCTGTGTATATGTATGTACTATAGCGAAACGGATTTCAAGCTGGAAAGGTTTTGTACACACATTTTTTTAGTGGAATTCTAAGTGAAACAAAATGTACCTTTCCCCTGTAAGTCTTGGTGGAATTCCTTAGAAAATGTAATGTTCGACATTTATCCATTTTATACTTACATAATGTAAGTTCCATACACTTCAGTTTTTTGTTTGGTGAGGTATACTGAGGATGAGCACTGTGGAATTATTTTAAATTGTAAAACTTCATAAAACGAATTGGTAATGAATACATGAAGAGATCTCATGGCTTGCAACTTCCTTGAGCTGAACTACATAATTCCTTACTCTTAACTCCTTAGGCTTATAAATGGTTTATTTATGAAAGATGAAGGAAGAGGTTACAAGTGAGATGCTTTTATAAACTACCGTCAGAATCTATTACATATTTTTGTTACCAACAAATTACCATTCCAAATGAACCATAAACACCGATCAATTCAATATACCGATGTAAGCTGATGTAAACCCAGCGCTTTGATTCCATTCTGAACAACTAAAGGGATTTAGAAAATGGTTCCACTGGCTCGTAAGTGTCTAACGCCCAATGCATGAATGCAGCTAATTAGGGGAACTGAAGCTGAAGCTGAAGCTGAAGTACTGCGCTGCTTCCCTTTCCTTTCCACAATACAACGACCCACGCAGCACTGCTCACCCCACCCCCTGGCGGCAACGAGTCGGTAATCGTTTGATTTGTGAGCGCGCACTACACACCCATTGGCAGTGTAGAGTTGTCCCGCTCGCACGCTAGCGACGGCCTCAACGGCCGCCATTATGAAAGTCCAGTGCCGAAAACCGGTCGGCGCTGCGCCTGCAGATTGCACTCAAAGTTTGAGTGAGAGGGCAAACTGGCTTCCAGGCGGAGAACAGAATACAGACACTGACTGCCAGGTGAAATTCGAGCCGAAGAGAAAACGAAACGAACCGAGTCCAGCGACCAAAGCGAGACAACCGAACCGACAGTTTGCTCTCGGCCGCGCATAACGAAACAACAAAAATTTTGCTTCAAACTTGTCGGTTGGCGCTTTTAACCGATTTCAGTAAAAGTTCCGTTTTGAATCCACAATACATAAGCTTTAAGGGCAAGGCAAGATTTATTTCTCTAACTGTTTCGTGGACAGTCGGTAGTGCAGTGAAAAAATAATGCTCCGTGCGGGCTACCGTGCTCAGAGTAGTGCCAGTGAGACGACGACGGCGACGAAGAGGAAGTGAGGAGGAGGAGGAGTGTAACAAAGTGACTGATACAGTTCCATTATCCGTGGAATCGATTCATTCCATATCATACCCTAATCGATATCCGCGTTGTCCTCTTCTATGATTGTGATTGTGACCACGTGCTGACTGGTGTTGTGAACTACTATAATAACTTATTAGTTAAAACCAAATAAAAAAACCTCAGCGAATAGACCGATTCTTAGACATGTTGATAGAGCCGACTTTGAACCGTGACCTTGGCTCGCTTACTGTTGCAAATTCTGGCCACTCGGCCGCGCACTGGAAAATGGAGCCCCATCCCCAACGAATGACATCGCTGGCCCCGCATGCCTCCAGTGGTAAGTTGTGTAAATTAGCCGACGGCTAATCGAGTTCAGTATCTCCTCTCCAAATTTGGTGCGTAATTAGTGCTCCAAGCGGATCATTGATCCGCTCTTTCTCTGCTGCGCTTTTGTTTCTTTCTCCACTCGTTTCATTTGATTTGCGGCACAACTGATTGCCGAGCATAAGGAACAAACAACAAAACAAAGCTACTAAGTCTGTATGCTAGTCAATATTTCTATTGTATTCTCTACATTGTATCAGCTGTGTGTACGTACCAAGAATAGTTTTAATTACCCCTTTGTTTGGTTCGCGCGAGTCACAATTTCAATTACAATTGATAAATCCGCCCTGCCAATCGCTGATGGCAATTGCGTGGGGATGTCGTGTGTCGGACTCCATTTTGGCATTAGATTCGGGTCCGAGAACTGCCATCCGTCAGTCACCATCATGGGCTTTAGCTGAAGCTTCAGCTTCGTTCGGTCTCAGTTCAGATCAGTCAACACAATTAACGGCTAATTTATCATAATTAACCATTGTGGTTGGCAGACAGGCAGCTAGCAGCCAGCAGCCAGGCAGCCAGGCAGCAGCACAGGCGGAATAATGATGACAATGGCCAATTATCACTCGATTCCATTCGTTCAATTGCAGTAGCGGCAGCAGCAGCAGCAGCGGCAGCAGCGGCGGCAGCAGCGCAAGCAGCAGCGACGACAACCAACACGTCGCCTCCATCTGTGCAAATACCGCCGGGCTTTGGCGCTGCTGGGGGCACAGTCGGCAGCAGCGGCAGTGGCGGTCCAACGGGTAGCACGCTCAATACATTGATGTCGCAACACCGCCTCCTGGAGTTCTCCCGCTTTGGTGGCCTGCGTGGCTATGACATTGCCCAGCATATGCTGACGCAGCAGGGCGCAGTGTCCAAGCTGTTGGGTAAGTAAACAAGGAGAGAAGAGACCCTTACACAATCGGATAACTAATAGGCACTTTGTTTTCGATTTGTTTTGCTAATTTCAATGATAAACATGTTATTATCCTTGTACCAAAAGTCAGACCCTATCAGGCAGTCGTCCCCTTGCCTGTAATTCAGCCACTTAAAATTGCATAAGCTCCTTGGCTGGCTCTCGGGCTGGTGGTGGCTAAAGACCGCAGGCTCATTAATCAAAATGCGGCATACATATTTCTGGTTCTGGTTAAGGGAGCTTCAGCTTCGGTTTAGCCTGCGTGCTGCAGGATACGTAGCTCTCGCCCCTCACTTGTGCTGCAATTGTTAATGTCGATGGCGATGGTTGATAAAGCTATTAAAATCCAGTGGATAAGCCAGCGGGCTCAGGACACATAAGTCATCAGAATTCGCGCTTGCAAATCCATAAATCCATTTGTCTCATGCTCTGGGTGCTCGCTCTTTTTCGTTTTGCAGGCTCCCTGCGACCACCGGGCCTAATTGGTGGCTCAAAGCCAAAGGTAGCCACGCCAACGGTTGTGTCCAAAATCGAGCAATACAAGCGCGAGAACCCCACCATCTTTGCCTGGGAGATACGCGAGCGACTCATCTCCGAAGGTAAGTTGCAGCCAAAGAGCAAAAAGAGATAATTGTCCCCTGCCCCGCCGAAGAGGATAATCCAAGTGGAGCTGCTCTGATTGATCGCTGATTGATCGGCGGCGGCCGCTTTGGAGATCTCGATCGCGATTTCGACTTGCCAGCTAATTGTGCCCTCCCGCCATGCAGGTGTCTGCACAAATGCCACCGCGCCGTCGGTGAGCAGCATCAATCGCATCCTGCGCAACCGCGCCGCCGAGCGTGTGGCCACCGAGTTTGCGCGCACCGCAGCCTATGGGCTGTATCCGCCGCATCCGCATCCGTACGGCAGCTTCACCTGGCATCCGGCCGGCAATGTTGGAGGTGGACAATCGGTGCCTGGTCCACCGCCGCCTTCGGCCTTGTGGTCTGTGGCGGCTCCCACGTTGGCCAATCTGCCGCCCAGTGCTGGCAGCTCCGTGTCTGCCGGCAACTGTGGATCCCTGAGCTCGGCTCATCTCATGGCCAGTGCACCGCCTCCGAATAGAGCCATTTCCCCGGGCTCTGGCAGCCACGATACGCTGGAGTCTGCGGACGAGAATCGCCACATCGACTCGGACTACTTGGATGACGACGATGAGCCCAAGTTCCGACGCAATCGCACAACCTTCAGCCCGGAGCAGCTGGAGGAGCTGGAAAAGGAGTTCGACAAGAGCCACTACCCATGCGTGAGCACCCGCGAGAGGCTGTCCAGTCGCACGAGTCTGAGCGAGGCGCGAGTTCAGGTGAGTGCAGGGATTGCTGCCCAACGGTTGCACCTTCTTGACTCTTGTGTTTGTCTCCTCCACTGTTAGGTTTGGTTCTCGAACCGCCGTGCCAAGTGGCGTCGCCATCAGCGCATGAATCTGCTCAAGCGGCAGCGTTCCAGTCCCGCGAATCCGCTGCACTCGCAGCAATCAAACGATGCGCCCGCCAGCTCTCCCACGCCCAGTAATCACAGCAGCGCCTCTGCCTCGGCAGCTTCTGTGGGCGGAGTAGCCGCTGCGCCGCCACAGCAGTCGCTGTCCATCTGCTCGGAGCACTCGCCGCAGGCACCGCCCCCATCCGTGATACTGCACCCGTTGCATGGGCCGCCGGGCGGACATCATCATCATCATCCACTGCACCTCCCCACGCATCCTGCGGCGCTGCAGCTGCTCAGCCACTACCATCAGCAGCAGCAACAGCAGCACCAGCAGCAGCTTTCACCCACGGGAGTTGGAGCCTGTGGATCGGCCGCCAGTCACCTGTCGATGGGTGGAGAGCGCAGCGCATTCCGGAGTCTGGTGAGCTCTCCATCGGCGGCAGCCTTTCTGGGTCTGGCACGGCAGTACGCGGTGGCAGCTTCACTGACGGTGGCCGAAGAGCAGCGCTCGCGGATGCACTATTCCTCCTCCGCGGGTATGGGCTCCGGTCCGGAGAGCGGTGGCCCTGGCTGTGGCAGTGGGTGTGGCACTGGCGGCTCAACCATGACCGTGGACAACTCATCGTCGGATTCGGATGAAGAGATCAACGTGCACGACGATTCCGATGCTGAAATCGAATCGCCGGCGGCAAAGGTGGCCCGCCTGTCATCCTCCGATGGCTCGGCGACGCTGCAGTTCCTAAAGCATGACCGTTAGTGGGAGAGAGAGAATCTCCCGTGATCCGACAGCGGCGGCGGCAGAGTCGTCTAATTGAAAACCTGAGTTGTGTGCGCGTTTGTGATTGACAGCGCAACGTAGGCAACTACGTGGACTGGTGGAACGATGGAATGGGACGGCGCGCAGCTCGCAGGCGGATCCGTGCGTGTCGCGGATGGGAAACATGAGACGCGAGACGAGAAACGAGAAACGAGAAACAAATCGAAAAAAACCAAAGTTAAAATGCTGCTCACCTACTTGCAGCGGCAGCAACAATAGTAGGCGGCATTTGTGTGTGGACACGCTTTAGATTAACTGAAAATTGTAACTAATACTTACTGCTACGAGTATGTGCACGCTTGTCCCATTTAATGCACATTTCCATCTGCATAATAGTTAGGTACGATTGCGAATGCGAATGCGAATGCGAATGCCTTCGAGTACATACTCGTACGTAGTATGTGTGTAACTATAATTATTATGAATACGAGTACGAGTTATATTATTATTCAACGCCGGCCGCTGGCTGCCGACTTACCTCATCACCATTTAAGGCTATAGAGTATGCAATATCTACCATAATACACATGTAACCTTAAGCTGTAACTCTAACTATAACTTAGTCCTAATTTAGGCTCTAAACTCCAACTCCAAACAATACAATGACCGCCCCAACACACGGAGCACACCATTTATGGAGAGTACGACTAGGTTTTGCGTTTGAACTGATATCTGTATTGTATGTAATGTTAAGTGTGGCTAGAGAAATGGCCTTTCGTTCATGTTATGACAAAAATTGTCTATCCAAAAATAAAAAGTGCAAGAAATATGAAACAACTTTCGTTTTATTTTTACACAGAAATCGCTGCCAATGGCTTGCCTGCCCAATGCGTTCTCTCGTTTGACAACACTAGAATTTATTCGTTCGATTTCACGCATAATAATCAATTCCAACAACACTCAACACACTCGGGCGGGGAGGGAGGAAAGGCAAGGCAACAACCAGAAACCGAAACACAACCGGCAACGAGCATAAATAAGCATTTAACACTCAAAAGGCTTCTTAAAAACGTTATTAAATATTAATATAATCAATATTCATTGTGTGACCAACTGTCCACCAGAGAGCGTGGTGGCGGAGGAGGGGGTATGCGATGCGCTATGCTGATGGTGGGGAAAAAGTCAAACGAAATCGAAATCAGAGTCAAAATACGCGCATAGAAATCGCTTAAATTTCAAACGTAATGGCCAATATGTCCAAATCTGGTAGATAACATCGACATTTTAATTATAACCAAATGAAGCCGCGCCGTGCGCACACTCCGTGGAGACATGCAAAGAGATGAGCAAAGAAGAGAAGAGAGATGCGGAGGCAGATTGGTATCGGTTTGGGGATAGGATTGGGAATGGGAATGAGGAGATGCTATGGTATGGCATGGAATGGGATTGGATGGTTTCGACTGACCGATTAAAAATGCGGAGTCAACTAAGCACATAAATCAATGTAAATTATGGTGTTAACAAAAGGCGAGCTGAGCGCGCTTAAATCGCAGGCAAACGGAGAGACTGGATCGTTGACGTTATTTTTCTTTAGTTTTTTTAGGAGCTGCAGAGACTGGCGTTGGTGTGGGGAACACTGGATTGTGGACCGTCTGCCTGGCCGAGATTTAAATGAGCTGAGCGCGTATGTTGTGCATTCGCATCTGATAAGAGAGTAAGAGAGTGAGAGAGCGAGAGAGCGTTCGTGTCGATATACTTACATGCCTGATCGGGATCGGAATCGGAATCGGAATCGAGAGCGGATTCTGGCTTGGGATTGGGATCGGGTGACGGTCATCAGGCGCTTTACCACGCGCGAGCAGCACACACACACACACACACACACAAATTCAATTTGCTTGAGTTTTTATGAGCAAATGATTCGGTCCGTTCCTCACTCTCTTCTCTCTGCGGCCCTTTGCCGTCTACCGTCATGACTTATTCTAATTTAGTGCGGAGCTGCTCGTGAGCATTCCCTTTAATAAATTTAAATCACCTTCTATTGAAAATATTTTCACCTCGCGCCCATAAATTATACACTATACGATATTTATACAGTCTGCGGCAGGGCTCTCTGGGTCAGACGAAAATCTCTTGGCTTTGGTTTCACGATCTCTGGAACATATTCAGTGGTTTCATTTATGCTACAAAGATGCGATATGCATGCTGGTGTTTGTGGAATCTCACGGAACAGGCCCCAGGGTACGGCTACGGCTACATTCATATGTTTGATGGACCTGGGCAAAAGTGGCGCTCTCTCATGAGCGCCATATAATCACAGTGAAACACTTTTACGATCGACCCATCATGCAGTGCTGATCAGTTGGCCACTTGATGACCACTCCGCAGGACAGACTCTGACTCTCGACTCTGACTCCTCGGAGATTGTTTTTGGGCAACATTGTTGGCAAATGTTTGTGGCTTTGCGCAGTTTTTATTGTTTGGGTTGGCGGAAATCGATGAACTTTGGTATGGCTACGTCGGTATTCCATGCGAACGCCCCCCCTCTGGCATGCAGCGCCACCAGCAAGAGGCCGGTGATAAATCTGTTGGCAAACCCGACACAACATTTCCATTGCATCCTTCTAAATGGACCATAAACGTGCGAAGTCGCAACACTAGCAATAACTAAAGTTAGTTACGTTTACTAATATGACAACAATGTTGTCGACTTCCCTATACCGATGACCGCCCCCCTGCCCTGCACCATTCGGGGATGCCAGCGCGAGCGAGGCAACTTTCCAGTTGTTTGTGGAGAAAACTCCTCTCTGCGGTCACAGAGGGTAGAGAATATTTTCATATAAATGTAAATCCACTTCAATCCTTGTAAGGAAATATGTTAAATATTTGTCCTCATGCTAATAGATTTACCTTTTATGAAACTTATTCAAATGTTTTATTTCTGAAGATATCTTAAATTCGTATGTTATACGATGTTCAGCCGCAACCTGTAAGTGTCGACGGTGATTTATGCCCAAACTGAAATGTCCACAATGGCGATTCGGATGACCCGACCCTGCTACAGCACTGAAGGCACCGCCAGACAGGGTCTGGGTCTGGGCCTGGGAGCCCCTGTTAATGAGCGGAGCGATTAAGAGATGTGCATTTGTGCTTGTCCGCTCCGCTCCTTAAATGAGCTCGAGCTTTTAGCGCGCAGCTCTAGGCGTACGGGGAACGAAACGGAACGGTGAGAGGCGGAGAGAGACTGTGGATGCAGGGGGAACGGGATGAAGTGATTTTGTCTCGTTGTCATCTCATTTGGAATTGGGCGATAAGACAAATTTGTTTTCTTTGTTTATAAGTTTATGCAGATACAGGTTTGGGTTTCTCATACACTAACCCAATCGGGCGTATACGAACTCTAATAGCCCAAAGCCATGCATCTTGGGTAGAGCATACGCATGTCGCCTGCAGCCGTAGGCACTAAGCGTGGGGAATAGAGTTATATTTAATCTTTGTCGCCTCGCAGCTCGGGACTCAGTTCGAGCCAGAGCCAGAGCCAGAGGCAGAGCCGAGCCCGTTCGCAGCACAACAAAGTGGAATTGTGGCCTTTTGATTTGAATTTTGAATTCGAATTTCTTTGTGTTTTATTTGTTGGACTGCGGTGCGCTGCGCTACGGCAGCTTCTGCCGCTGGTTGACATCTCTCTTAACGAGGCGTGCGATCAAAAGAGTAATGAGGTGTTGATAGTGTGCCCGAAAGCGAAAGACGCTTTATGCATTCCCTGCCCCCTCGTTGGATTAATTAGGAACAATGCCAGCTAAAGCCACAGCCACAGAAGTTAACCCTGTTCTAGTATGTCCCAACGATAATTGAGGAGGAGTCTCCTCCGCTCTGTGATGGTAAACCCTAAACCTTTGAAGTCTTTCAAATCTTTCTTTTAACTAGCATTGTCTCATGGCATCTGATTCTGATTCTTGACTCTGATTCCAAATCTTTCCTCCCTATAGCTGGCCATTGTTCTCTCTGGCCAATTTGCATATGATAAATCTGCTTTCATATTTTGTTAAATTGCTGGTTCTCATTGGCTGGGCCGAGGCATTGGCGCGTGGTAAATTGGTTGTATTGTAAAACATCTTATTAGTGGCCGGCTACCGAATTATGACCAATTATAATTATTGATTGATTGCGAGCCATAATGAGTGGCTCCCAAAAAACTGCCGTTGTCACTGGCAAATGATTCTGGCACTGAAACTGTTTCTTATTTTGCATTATGGTGATGGAGTAGAAACCGGAGAGCTGTTCAAGAGAAAAAACACTAATTTGTGTTGGAAATGCTACCTTCTTTTCATTGCCACTCATGACATGATGTACCCACTGAAATTGCTAACTAAAACTATAAAAATAGCGTGTGTTTTATATGCACTCTTTTATCTACGAAAAATCAGAGAGTGTTAAAGAAACACAAAATGTCAGAAGTTACAGCCAGAGCCAACTCAGAGCCCCAAACTCGCAGCGCAGACCACTTAGCTCGCGCATAAATCTCGGCATTCCGATGGGCGGCTGAGAGAAACAATTAACCGAAACTTATGACGCTGCACCTTATTAAAATGCATCCCCCAGCACAGTCACCAGCACCGGCACTGGTCTCAAATGATCTCTAAACTACGCCTATTGTTCTTGCGGACCGACGGCTGACGTTGGACTACTACACAAAAAATGTTAAACGGCTCCTCTTTGGTTTGGCTCGCCACAAGATTTATTGCTTGTCCCAAAATCACAGAATACCCGTTGCTGCTCAGAGAGAACGGGGCAGCGAGGCGAGATAAGCAACCGAAACAGAGATGGAGATCGGAATGGTGGAACAGTGAGACGGGGAGACAGAGAAGAGAACGAGCAAACGAACGAACGAACGAACGCACGAACGTACGAACCCTGTTTTGATTCGGCGGATCACATTCGAGCAAATCACGCATAAATGAAGTCACCTCAGCTCCACCTCACCTCACCTCTACCTCACCCCGTCTGTCGCACGCATTAATTCAACATTAACGTATTAATGCGCCTACATCGCCCACTAATTGAGCCAGCGACACCGACTCCGCTGATAAGTGGGTTCGCTGCTTTGGTTCTCCCAGTCCTGATGAGATCGGCCTCTGTGCAGCGAGCCAACATATCCATTTAATGTGGGAAAGGAAAGGGTTGCTGGCTCTTGGCATAGAGAGCGATGCGTTGATGGTGCCACAATAATGCAAACAATATGTCTCTATAGGATTTCAGTGGCTTCATTGATTCTTATCACCCTATAAAATACATTTCGTTTGATTATTTGTATTTCTCTCGCTTTTTATAAGCCCTTCTGCCTCTACGCTTCGTTCCTCTCCACATCGTTCCACCACTGCTCTGGTTCGTTCCCGTTGCGGCTTTTGCTCTTGTTGTTCTTGCTGCCATCCATGTCGCTCTGTTGCCTTGTTGCCTGGTGCCGCCGCCGGTGCTCCTCTGTTGCTCTGTTGTCACCATTGTGGCTCATCGCCGGCTTTTGTGCGCCAACGTTTTATTTCATTCAACATAGATGGCTGCTTTTTATTTGGAGTCAGAGAGACTTGGGGCTGTAGCTTGGGCTTGGGGTCGTTCGATTTCGAGTTCGAGTTTGATCGCGAGGCCTGGATGCGCTGTGCTGTGCCCATAGAGCGATTCGGGGTGTAATTTATGTCTTTATTTAGTAAAGATTTCGTTTCCTAATTTATTGTGATATCTCTTTGGGCAAACGGGCATCGGCAGCAGCAGCAGCAGAAGCAGTCAGAGTCGCAGTCCTCAGTCCCTGGGT